ATCGCTTTTAGAATCTTTTCAATTTAGAACGAAACTATTTAGAATTCGCTTAACATTTTATCGATCTCGATATTAATTGCGATTGAAAAAACAAATATTTGGACCAAAAAAAAATTATCACTTGACAATGGCTTATCAATTCATAACAAAAGGATCTAATTGCCTATAATTTACAAGTTATTTCCTTTAGCTTAAAACTTGAGAACAATTTCATCGATTTTCAATTTTGAAAAATTGATAATTTTTCCACCATTTCACAATTGAATTTCGAATTTGAGGAAGAAAAAAACGGTCGCGGCTGAAGTAATTTTTCCTTTCAGTTGAAAACCAAGAAAATTATCTATTGATAAATTATCAGTGGATAGAATTTCGTCAAGCAGCAGCTTATTCCGCACAGTAAGCATGAAATAATAACCATACGATTGAACAAAAACTTTTCAAATATTCAACGATAATTTTGTTTCGATTCGAATATTGACTGGTAATCACAATACTTTTGTGCTGGATATTGTGTTTGAACTACGCGAAAAAATATCAACGGCTATATTTTGTTCCGGAGGATGCAAGCGAAGTACGTTCCGATGTTGCAATGTCTAAATATGAACTAAACCGAACTCGATCAACAAAGCGTGTTTGTAGCCACAACGCCCGAGCCAAATGCAACCGTACACCAGCGCACACAGTTGTTCTCTCTCGCCTTCTGTATGTCGTTTGTAATTGTATCGTTGTTGCCGTTCTGAAAATCGTTCGCCCAGTGGAAAATCAAGAAGCACGTTTCGTATGTACTCTATACACACAGCAATGCCGTCAGTTTGTGAGTTGATGGAATGCGTGCAACGTTTGCGTTCGGCTTTTGTATGTGTTACTCGGTTGAAAATGGGAAAACCACATGCCAGCTGTTCGGAGGATAGGCTTTTTACACATGTCTATTCACATTTCGTCATTTCCCCGTTGACTGACGGCTGCTCACTCATTAACCCGACTCTCTCCTATTTCAAACGCGTACATATAAAAATGCACTGTTTGATGTTTGCACTTTATGTTGTCTGATGGAATTCCGTTTGTTCTTTTTTTCTTCTCCTCCCTCTCTTTCTTCTTTCACTTCATTATTTCGCCGCAAATGTACACTTTTTTCAACATAAATTCAACGACAAGGTGGATACATGAAACAACCGCTTTTTGCTTTTTTTTCTCCACACAATTTGTTTTTTATCATCGTACATTTCAAAGGTTGCCAGTTTTTTTTTTTTTGCTATTTGGTTTGGCCTGTGAATAATTGGGGAGTTCCAAGCTGTTGCATCGTTGACACACCATACAGAAACTTGACTCCTTCTCCTCAAAAATGCTCTTTGTGAAACAATGTTTGGCAACGACAGTTTTTTTTTTGTATGCTTGCATCATTGGCAAACTAATGAGCAACATCACGTTATTAATATTATCATCTACATGTTTATTGTCAGTTGTTGCTTGCATTTTTGAATTTTTTTTTTTTTCACCAATGGCAGTTGGCAATAAATTATCGAATAACTATTCGATAAATTGATTAGCACATTCACGCTGATTTTTCATCACAATCATGAATAAACATAAACCATACGGATGTGAATTGCTCGTGGCGTACGGTGACGACAGCAAATAACTGTCAAAATGAGGAAAACGAATCACAATTTTTCTTGTTTTAAACGGAAAATAAACGCTGTTTCATCGATCTAATTGAAATTAAAACAGATTGGCAGATTGGCTCGTATTTTCCAATTTGTAAACAAATTTATGCAATCCGTTGGAGAAAAGAAAATGCTATCGTGAATTTTCGTTTGTGTTTACATTTTCTTCATTCGCTGAACATGTTGAATGGAATATTTTGAGCTGTTGAAAGACGATGGGGTTCCATTACATTGTGATGAATGAAAAATTCGATTTCATCGACGCCTGCCTGAACGCAAGTGCTCCAATTCACAGCGTTCAGGAAACGTGTAAATACGAAAAACATCCGTTTAATTTTGTTGGAAATTCACCGACAAACAAATGACCGTATGGCATACGGTGTATGCACAATCGTTGCATTGATGATTGTTTCAAATTGAATCGAATTAAACAAAATGTAAATTGAAGTCATTTAAAAAACAATTGCGAGAGAATGCTGTTCATACTTTTGTATGAGCCATTTAGAATTGTCCCAAAGGCATATTCAGTTCATTCGTTTGCTTATGATGGCTAATGAGTTTTGAGTTGATTTGATAAAAGTGAATTTATTAGTCAACATGAGCCAAGGACATTTTCTGATTGCGTACAACGAGCAGCAACGTTCATTTGGATATGAGTCACCAGAAGAATTTTTTCCCAAGAGAGGTTTCTGTCTGTCTCAACATCACACATGGCGCTGTGTGACAATTAATTTTGATACGAATCCACTAATTGCTGTCGAGCTATGTTTCTGTGTGTATCTCATCTGGATGGTAAATTGGAACGTCGCTGCAGAACAATGGTCTCATCGTTATTGTTGCAAAGAGAAAATGCTGTGTGTACGGTGTATACATGTGTGTGTGTGTGTGTGTGTGGGACAATTCTTTGGCAAAAATCTGTGTTCAATATGAACCTGTGAGGCTGAATTGCATATATCGATCATCAACATGACAAGCCGGCGACTAAATGTAAAGTGGCTTAAGGTTTTATTCCTTTAAAAGCCATCGTCAAAATTGCTGAATAATCATCATTCATGCTAGAGTTAGGCGTGCGCTATGTTTTTGAAAATAATTAAATTTAGAATGGAGTGACACAGTGTACGTTGTTCAGGGCACTTGAGAGGGAGCTAAGTGTGCATGTGATTCTAATTATTCGACGTTGTCCCAAACATATTGTGTATAGATGCAGCAGGCGAGCGTGTGTTTTCTTTTGAAATTTTCGAATGGTGGTGAGCGAATTCTGATACGTGAACATTTTTAAGCAACGTTTCTCTCCTTTTTTGTTATATTCTCCACATTGTTTCTATAAATGATGTGCTAAGTTCGAATGGGAATATGTAGCATCACGTACAACTCTTAACTCTCATCCCATTTTATGTTGCAAGTGGTTGTTGTGTCCGTAAGTAATTGTTATGTGAAATCGATTTTTATGTGGATGCGTTTTTTTGTTCCGTTTTTATTTGGTTCTGTTCAGTTGATGTCGAAACTCACCCAAAGTGTCGCAACATTTTTGGCACACAAAAATGAAACAATTTTACATCGATAAATTTGCTAATGGGCCAACATCATTTGTCCCTCAAACTCCCGGAACTTTTGCGTCAATGCATGCATTGAAGGGAGCAACGAGCGTTTGATGTCACCCATCGCGCACATAAAATAACATAAATTGCTAATGCTGACGCATCGTTTATCGCCTCTGCTGATCACTGTTGATTAAATATACTGTTGATAGTCTCGTAGCGCGCGCGCACACACATACACACACACAGAACGTAATGGCTGCAGCCAAAAAAGCCCTTGCACATTATCATGACAGCCAATAAACAATATCCATCGTATATTCCAAAAGTGTTTTCAAAAAGATACACATTTACTATGCACACAATACTCACATATAACTAATTACGAGTTGTCATAATAAAGCATTTTACAAAATAATGATCAACCCCGTCTCGTCACATTTACATTGGCTATATGCAAAAGACGGCTGACCACATACACACACGTACGCGCCAACACACACAGGCCCAGGCCCAGGCTCAACTCGAAATATTTCCAGAGTATGAGAATCCCTTGTGTGTGCTCAAAATTCATTTCACTAACTATACAACGAAATTAACAAAAGAAGACGACAGAAGACACGTTAATGTTATTAAAACCGTATTTTTGCTGTGGGGGGCCAAAACATACAATTGACTTCATCTAGTCGTTCTAGGAAATTCGGTTGGTGGTCAAGCTACTGTGTGTATGTGTGAATGAAATATCCATTTCGCATTTCACATCATCAAAAAGACATTTTCGACCAGAAACACTGGTTTTCAGTTTTTCTTCTATATGTTATACATACAGTTTCTGGCCACGATGAATGCGTTGTCCTGGTCAGTAGTACGCTTGCAAAAGACATTTCCTCTTAGCAATTCATCATAACCAAATTTCCGTGGTACGGGACAGAACCATAGTCACTGGCGTTGAATAAATAAAATACACTCCGATAGCAGAGATTGGCAGAGATAAATGATGCGAGCCAAGTGAAACCAGCGCCGAGCCATATGCACAAGCAGATTTGGGTCAATTTCACTTTTCCACTGTGGACATCCGCTTTTTTTGCAATACATTTTCGTATCATACTTCCTGTCCCAACGTCACACCATTTCCATGTTCTTAATAGCGCTTATTCATCATATGGACGTTGGCATACGTTGAAATTTTGATAAATAATATTCCTGGATCGACAGAGAGGAAAAAAAGCAACAAGAAATGAATTGTTCAATATGTCGCCTGGAGCAACAAGAGAGTGCTATTTTGATTGATATTTTCACCGTGTGTATATATTTCATATGTGTAACGTATGGTGTGTTCAATATGAATGTGGTTTGACCTATGCATCAATTTTCATTTCGGAAAAGTTGCATAATATAAACTGCGTTGGTAAACCATGCACTGTGGCATTTTAACATGAATATTGCGGTATGTTTACTATTTGCGGTGTTTAATCAAATTTATTGAAAGAGTAAACACGTTCATATAACGCTTAAGTTGTTATTCGAGTCGAATTATTCGACCAACGATTTTGCTTTAGATCCTTTTGTTTCAAAATGTTCGTCGGTTGCGAAAAAAAATGTCATTTGACTACGTTTCGACGTGAATCCATAATAAATTACTCTTTTAATGATGTTTAGAAATTACAACCTCTGATCGACCAAACAATCAGAAAAATTATTCCACACCATAATTTTCATAAACAATAAGCGAATTCATTTATCCGGAATATTCATGTGGCATTCTGTTTCTCCTGGGAAAGAAAGAAAAAACAATACATAGAAAAAAAAAACGAAATTTTCCTGGTTTATTCTCATTTCATTTTGAGTAGTACATAGCAATGTGTAGTTTGTATGTCTGTACGACATAGTACATACCAAAAAAAAAAGACAATCACATAATTATGTGTTCGCGTGGAAAAACCCTAGAAAAAAGTTCGTTTCTAAAAATGACATATTAAACAATGCACAAACATATTTTGCCTTGTTGATTCGGTGCTTTCATTTGTGTTATTCTCTTGGGAATTGTTTTAACAAAAAAACAGCAACCACACATACGTACACGCACCGCTTATACGTACACATAAACATACGCCAATTCGAGTTGGCCAATTTAATGAGCATAATTTTCGTCGTAATTCTATTGACTATATGTTTGAAATTGACATGTCAGAGTTACTCAACAATATTTCGCTTAATGTTTTAAAAAAAAAAATCAACCTTGGGATGCAGAGCATTAGAGGCACAAGAACCGTATTGGTATTATTACGTTGAGTTAAACTTAAATTTAGAACTGCATTAAGAATTCCATGGGGAAATATTAAATCGGTTTTGTTCCTTCAAGATTTCATTGTTTTCTTTTTTTTTCACTTAGTATTTTAGTCTTTCGTCATGGATGAGTCAAAGTATCAGGCAAACTGCTTACAAACAAAAGGCAGAGCATAAGTATGACTATTATCACAAATAAATTTGCAGAGATTCGTCAAAGAAAATTGATAGTATAATAATTAGGCTTTACGCGATTTTGAGCGCGGCACGAAGCCTTTCAGAGATTTAATGGTCATGGTACGGTTAAAATGTCGTTGCGACGTTTTTAAATCGACCGGTTCGGGTGTGCACGAAAACTCATTTGTCGTCACGATGATGCCCAGTACGCTTATCACCTGAGGAATACACGAAGACAATAGATTTAGTATGAAGAAAATAAAAACGTGTAATCGATTATGTACATAAATGAATTGATGCCTCACCAGCAGACAAATGATAGCGATTGTGTAGAACTGAATGTAAGATGGAGTGGTTTTTTCCATATCTCGAATCGCCTGCATGATTGGTTCATGGTCTGGATTCAACTCGAGCGCTTGTTTAAAATAGAGAATCGATTGCTGGAACAGTCCATATGAGCGATAGATTTCACCCAGTGTGAAAAATGAACGCCACGCATTTCGATTAATCGCTTGGGCTTCTAGCGATCGTCTAACTAAAAATATTGCGTCGTCTAAATATTGTAGTGAGAACAAAACTCTCGCTAAATCATGCAGCACATCTGCATTCGACGGATCCATAATCAGTGCACTTCGAAAGCAATCAATCGATTTGCCAGCATTCCCCTTGATTCGCCAGAAATTGCCGATCTGATGGAATAGTTTTGTGTTCCATGGTTTGTCACGTTTTGCTTTCTTCAATCGCTTCTCCAGCGTGTCAACGTCAAATGTTTTCATATTTCGATGATCTTTGGATTTTAAAAATACAGACGCCGCCTATAAATAGACACATGTTTGGTATTCATTGAGATGCAGTTATTTCTTATTTCGTGTTTACACCGAGGTTTACACACATATCTAACATACCTCTGCATCTGGAACTAACGGATGACTGTATCGCAGCGATATTCCAATCAGATCATCATAGAATGAAAAACTAACGGGACGGCCGCAGTCTAAGTTAATTTCGGATACGGATCGCTTTTGACTCGCATTATGCATCGGCTGATAAGCACTATAAATAGTTTTATTTTATGAGAATTGAGAAGAATATGGTTGTGGTGATTATATATCAGAGCAAAGCCACAAAGCACTTACTTGTATGCTCTGTGTGTATATAAATAATCGGCTGTACATGTTCTGTCGACATCTTTCTCCCAATTATCAGTGCTTTTCATTCCACTGGCCGATGCGATTATTGAGAAAATGGCATCGTTCTCATAAATCTCACGTATTTCCTTGGCCAACTGGAAACGGTAAAATCGATACATTTTTAATGAGCAAATATCTAATAGGCGATGATGTGGCTCGTGTACACCAAATCATGGTTCGTGTACACCAAAACGTATACGAGCGAGTGAACGCACACACCAAAACCAAGCATAATTCGTATGATACTATTGTACGGCATATCCGCGCGCACGGACACTTACGTGTTGATGACTATCGCTGTAGCTAACAATTTTTCCACTTTTATCATTTAATTTCCACAAAATTGACGATTTTGAATTCAAACCAATGATTTGATTGCATAAAATATACACAATCGTCAACAACTGTATAACATTCTCAAAATAGTGATGCATTACTCTTTGTTTCTTTTACTCGCTCTAGAGAGAGAGTTGTATCGTGTATCAAAAATAAACTCAAAACAATAGCACTGATTCAATTCACACTATCTATCTATACGGTCACACACTGTGTGTGCATTTGTTTAGCAATGAAAAGTGATTTCTGAACGATTTGTAAGTTTACACAACATTTGTTATTGGTTTCTGTCTGACAGGCAAAAAAGGATAATAAATTTGTATTATGGGCTAACGTCAACTGATTCTGTTTCGTTTTAACTCTTTTACTGTTATTCCTTAGCGCTAGTCAGTGTGACATACGAGTGAATGAGACAAACTGATACGCGTGTTGTGAGCACACATGAGAAGAATATTTCGGTGAGTAAAACACCGTATGGAACTGTCACTTTATTTCGAACTCAATTGACACACACACGAATTCATGTTCGAAAAAACGAATTTGGCGCTCAACGCAGTCAATTGAAATGAAAACATATGTCGAAATGTGAATACGGTATAGTACTAAAGGGAAAAAATGTTTTTTTTTTTTCGTTTCAACAGAAAAAAAAGATGCAAAATGTTTGTTTTCCAAATTTTGTATATTTTTTATTTCAAACAAAATTGGGCACTGGAAAAAAAATGAACCTCAGTTAAAGTAATATACTAAATAGTAACCGTCTGAAAAGTTTTGGTACAGACTAACGCAAGTATTCATTAATATAAAACACAATTAGAAGCTATTGAAAGCAAAATGTACGACAAATTGTTGTACAGAAAAAGAACGGCATTTAATGGATCCGCGTTAGATCCTCAACTATTTTTATGACATCGTCCACTGTTGCCTCTTTCAATCCATTTGAATCGGTCTGCAATGAGAAATTGGTATGAAATTTGGAAAAATTCCACAGATTTCAATTCTGTGAATAAGTCTGAAGCTATTTATAAACTCACAATTTCCAAGCCAGATATCGTTTCAGTCATTTTTTCTCGGTTCAAATCCAAAAAGCTTTCAACCAAATCGCCATCAATGAATCCTTCACATGGTTCTTGTTTCATGTCCGTGTAGTAGCTACGATAGAATGAGTGTTCAATTTTGCCGACACTTTTGATGGTTTGCGTTAGCCGTGATTCAAGCGATCGCAAAAATTCGTAGAAATCGGCTGGTATTTGTGTGACTAAACCTATCGCACCGCTCACTGTTCCATATAGAATACAGCCCTGCGTTGGTGTGGTTTTTTCACCAACATTTTGCATGACTAATGATCCATGACGGAACACATTCACCATATCGCCTAAATGATAATGGGCCACTTCGGGCATCTGTTGACGCTCCTCATCCGTTGTCGCAGCACTGCAAAGAAATCAACATTTGTCAAATACAGAAACTGACTCAAATAGCATTGAATTGTAATGCTATCAGTGCATTTACCTATCTTTTTGGCAAACGATCAAATTCAGTTCATTTTCCGCTCCCAAAAATGTTTCATCGTCGATTATTTCAACGGCTGTCATCCATTTTGGTTCATAATCGCGAGAGATTTCTTCGAAACTACCTTCCATTTGTTTATGTTGCAATAGCGTTATCGACCTCATTAAATCACCAACCAAAATGAAGTCACCTGAATAGAAGCAATTCACAAGAAAATAATTAAATCAATTCAAAAGAATCGTTTGTTTCTCTATTGCGAGTGCCAAGGTATTATTCCAAGTGTATTTTACCTTTCGTTTTAACGTATAAAGCGATAATATTGTTGAAGTGGCTGCACTCCAATCGAAGATCCTTGTCGCTTGTCCATTCGAATAAACGAACTGTACTGTTGATGCTGGCCAAAACTTTTCCATTAAATTCAACCAGCGAGTAAACTGCACCTTTTACCTCCTTGTCACTAACTTGAGTAAGTTTACTGTCCGCATAATGATAAACGATGATACGACCACACTATAAATCAGATTGAAATGAGAGTAATGAGTTGTAGTGATACTTCGAAAATAAACTGTTCGAGAGATAATCTATTCATATCCATACCTTTGGTTCTGTTTCATCGGGATTGACCAGGGCAGTGCCGACGACAAAATAAGTGTTTGGATCTTCTCCCAAACGGGCCGATATAATTGATAAGACATATTCGGTTTGCATAAAGTGATGTGCATGCAATACTTCAAATGTGTTTTGATCGATGATGAGCAGATTGTAAATTTCCACCTCGTGTCCAAATTCATTGTTGACATTCGATAGACCGGCGCCCGGTTTCAGTAGTGTCATATTGCTCGACGTCGTAATATTTTGTGTTTGAGTTGATGCACTGGGACGTGACGGTGTCAAACCGGATCCATCTTGAATGTCAGTTCGTGATGTGATTACGCCAAATGTTTGTGAGCTCTCTTGGTAGGCGATGCGTCGCGGTGATTCACCCAACGCAACGGTTCGAATGTGTAGTTTCTGAATTTCATCGATTGTGCCCAGAATCACCGAGTTTTTCGTTGCCAATGCCAAACTGTCTGGGTATGCTTGTGCGTTCAACGAGCACATGTGATTCACCTCTTTCAAGTTTACATTTGAGAAAACTAATTTATGATTTGATGAGTAGATAACCGTCGGTCGATCGGAGCAGGCGAATACATTTGTTGTGGACAGTGATCGGAAGGTTTTCAAAATGGTCGGCTGTGTGCCGAGTGTGACTTTTTTCTTATCTTTCAATGTAGCTTCTGTTGCATTGAGTGTGAAATAGTACATGGAACCATCGCCCAAAGCGCATAACAGATAATTGATGCCCTCGAAATTAGTCATTAAAATTGATCGCGGTATCATTTCACCGCCCAATTTCTCGTTATTCAAAATTTCCAGTGTTGGCACTTTCAAAATGGTGACAGAAATATCTGTCCATAGACCGACTGCAACGAAGTTGGCCTTATCCGATTTCGGATCCAACAGTGATATGTCTAAGCATGCCACTTCATGAGGTAATGTCGTGTGAGATCGCTGAATCAGTTCACCATCCATAATTTCAATGTAGTAAACGTCACAGGCCGAAGCACAAACCAATTGAGAACTGTTGCAGGCCACAACACTGATGCGACCATCGTCACTTGGCTTCCATTCATTCACCAATGTGCCGGATTGTGTTTGAATCAATCGGGCCGACGATGAAGTTATTTGAATGATTTGATTGTGATCGACATTTCCACAGTAGAATGTTTGGCGATCGCTCAAAAATCCACTGACTTCCGTCTCTTCAACTTCTTCATTTGTCAATGTGAGGATACGAGTGTGGCCAACAAATGCCAATACCAATGTATTGTCAAACAGGGTATCTTCGATGCCGAGCTTCAATGCCCACATTCCCTTGATACCCGGCAAATCAATGCATGCATGCTCTTGTATGCCAATTCCATTGCGAATTATTCGCAATGAACCTTCTTTGAACGAGCCAGAGCACGTGATCATTTGCCCTTGGCCCTGTCGCTCCAAATCAACGACACAAATATCCAGAATTGGGCCAAGATTTGTGAACGTTTCCATTGGAATCACGTACGATCCATTCTCATTGACTGTTGTGCTTAGCTTCACCAGTTGTGAGTCACCGTGACGAGATCCAATGAACAATACACCGTTGTCTAAGTACGTGATACACTCAGGAATGGATATTTCACCTGAAACCCAGAATATTCTTATTAGATTAGTGTTTTACTTCTATTTCATCACTAAAATAAAATGATGAATTGGCAGACAAACCAAGCAGTTCCACTTTTAAATCTTTCACAACGAGTTCTCCCTTTGAGTTTTCCTCGCTCTCCAAGAACAGCATAAACAGATTGCCAGTCATATTTCCCAATAGATAACGAAAACCATGACTGTCAACACGTGCATAGCAGTTTATAGAACTTTGCTGTAATTTTTGGAAAAATTTGGATTTGAATTTATTCAGATTTACACGATTAATTCCATTTTTTCATGCCAATTGAATGATGCAAACCTTTATGATCGGTGGTGCAACTGCAACATAGCTACTGCCATCGTGGTAAACAACCGACTCTTGTCCAATGACAATGGCACCGCCAAGTGGAGACGGCACTGGGATCAACATTGTTGCCTCTGTTTCGACATTGTCTTGCTTCCAGGCAACTTTCATGAATTCTTTGTCGCGCAAATTGATCTCATGTGTTTTAATGTGACGTCCGTTTATGTCTTGATGTATAACAATCAATGTGGGATTCGAGCATCCGTATAAAAATTCAACATCTTGCACAGACAATTCTTCCATCCTAAAAATGAAACCGGTCATCAGTGAATATGTCAATTGAAAAGATAAACTAAATTGTTGTTTACCTCAAACTGGTTGCTTTGAGTTCGTTTGTGTCTTTGTCTAATGGAATAATTTTGAAGAGACCCTCATACAGACGCAGTCCAATAACACGTGCTTTTGGATCGATGACGGCTAAAATGCCGGTTTCAGCTTTCTTGCCAACTCGGTCGGCCACATTACCATGTGCTTTGGTTACGATATCAATATCATCACCGTTTGACTGACATTCCAATATCATGGCATTGTAGCGCTGCGTTAGTACGAACAGACGATCCCTTTTCTCACCCTAAAAAATTATGAATAAATTAATATTTTCACATTTAAACGAAACAAACACATTTCAACTCATCACGGGGCACTTACAGCTGGTCGAAAATGTTTCAAAACAGCAATTTTACCGTACACGCCAACCTCTTTCAATGGTCTCAAACCTTCTGGCGTCACCAAATATATTTCAAGGCGCGAATTTTTCGCCACTATTAAATTTAAATCTTCTGATGACGTGAAATTGCCTGAAACACAACAGAATTTTTTTTATTTAAAATGCACCAAAAATAGAACAGTTTCATTGTAACATTAATAATAACACAAAAAAAATACTTGAACATAACCTATATAACTATATGAGCGTATATAACAGACGGACCGAAAAAAAAATGAATACAGGGTCTTTGGCTATGTTTTATTTTTTTTGTCCACACTGAATTTTATTCTACGCATTGAAAATATTCACCTGTAACACACGCAGTAACTGCGGTTGGTTTTTGTGCTGTCACAATATAATTGTGCGACATTTTTTTTTTTATTTTACGACTTTCTGTGAACAATTCCAACAAATTTGATGGGAATATTGATGTTTTCTTGAGATAAACCACAACATGAAAAATTGGCAACAAAATCCGCCTGTCGAACTATACGCTTTTATTTAGCTGTGTTTCTTCTTCTTTTTCTTCATTACTTCACTTCGTCAGACGTTCTGACAGTTCGCAGTTCGAAAAGCCGCAACATTTCGATTCTGTTCGAATGTGACAACCCTGCGCGCGCTCATCCGAACATTCGTATTTTGCATACATCGTAGTGCATTGTGCTGATTTTGGATTTTTGCCGTTAGTTTAACTAAGGATTCCGCACTGTGAACATCGATCGAACCAGATCGAATTGCACACACTTGTCGATTCATGTGCCATTTTGTTTTTGCACGTCCAGTAAAAAACGTAGTCAAAACAAATCACACCACAATTGATATTGGTGCACAAGTCAGAGAAAGACGATAAATCAAGCGAAAGAATTGAATTTGAACGAATACTCGCAGAAGAAGTACAATGGATTTGCCGAAAAATTTGCAAATTCCACATTCGGTTGAAGAATGTATTTATCTAATGCGTTCGTACATTTACATCGACAAGTACACTTGTGAGGTGCACATTCGCGAAATCACGCCGTCACTTGTGCCTGGTTTCATTTTGGGTATCTGCGCTCAAATACCATTTTTGTATAGCTATGTCAAACCGTACATTAAAGGTAATAGTGACTTTATTGTGCACAATTTTTCGCCACATTTTGATTTCTTTGATTGTTTTTCAACACTTTTTTTTTCTACAACAAATTTCATAATTTTGTTTCAAAGATGTAATGCGAGGACATGTCTACGAAGTTGCAATCAGCGATCAATACAAACAAGAAATGGTTCGCAACGAATTTGTCAACGCACAACTGTTATACTACAATTACACGCCGGCTGATTGTGACTATGTGCTGTCTGTCATTTTGAATGCCGTGGTTCGATCGACATTCGGTCATGTGAACGCCAATTTTCTGTCACAGATGGAAGAGAGTTCACAGCACATTTCACAAATGGCCAACATTTTTCCAATGGCATTCTATTTCCCGCAAACATTCCGTCACATAATGAGAACTACATTGATCTCAACGCCCGAGCTTCGCATACGTATGATGTCGCTGTTGTGTCAAAACCATTTTTATCAGAAAAATTCCGTTTGGTCTTTGGTTAAGGTATTCGAATTCGACTGATTGTTCATTAAATGTGCAATAATTGGCAGATAAAAGTGATGCAAATCTCTGATTTTATTTAATTTTATTGTTTCACCACCAAACTCTGACTAAATATAGTAATGTTCAACCGTTCTAATCAAATCTTCTGAACAATTAGTAATATTTCAACACATTTACTGTATTTTCAACGCATTGTGTCAATTCCAGCGCTACATTTGGATTCAAGTGCGTAATTTCCACATGGGTACGTTCATGGCAATCGGTGATTGGTATGAAGCACGTGAGAAAACGCTCGCACATGTTGATGCCGAAATCGTTGATGAGATGAAGCGGTATGAAATTGTTATGGCCCAGATGAAAGCAATTGCTCACGAGCAAGGTTACAACTTGGGCACGTAAGTGACACATTGTCAATAGCAATTGGTCATGCACTATTTTCATCAGGATTTTTTTTTTGCTTTAGATTTCGTATTTTGAATCCGAAGTCGGATCTTCCGTATTTACGTCAATTCCCCAATTCCGCCTACTGTGCCATTGAATGGAAGAAAAAGATCAACAGTGGCTGGAAACACTATCACTATGATTTGGATCGCTTTGGTATCGATACGCAGGTATGCTTGTAGCTTCAGCAAAATATGTTCATGAAACAGGACAATGCGTTGATAGCAAAATATCATGTTATTTCAGAGTTTGGATAGAATGATGTCGATCCCAGTGAAGTTTACTTTGAAACGTCGATTGAACGATGAAGAAATTGAGACAATCTCCGCGAAACGTTTCAAAGTTCTGGAAACGGTTTTCACAGCCGCCGACGACGACGACGATGCTGACAACCAAAATGACGAAGAGATTGAAAACGAAACGGAAGCAGAAAACATGCCGAAAAATGAAAACGTTTCACAAGAAGTATGAAACATAAACAATCTTATTATAGAAATGGGTGAGTAAGCCCTCAAATCTTGAACAAATGAACACTTTATGTGCTCAACAATGATTTTCATTCATTTAAATCAACAAACATATGGATGAATCCACATTTGTAAACAGTTTTATTTATATCGGATGTTTATTTTCGTTTGTTTTTCCAGATTGACCCATGAAAAAAATATCTAACATAAACAAATGACCACGTGATAAACGATTCTAATCTGAATAATCATTCCATGACATGTACTTAACTTTAATTCATTGACTCAAAGTCTTCAACTCTCAAAGCGAAACTCCAAGTGGACTGATATCTTAAATGCAACTTTACCTCTTTTCATAAAAAAATAAAAGCTATTATTCCATAAAAATGTTCTAATCATATGCGAGTCATCAGTATAGATCAAACAGATTTTTTTTTAGTTAAAATCAAAGGAACTTATTGTTCTTTTCCATTATTTTTTATAAATAAATACATAGTTATTCCTATTGAATGTTGTGATTATTGTTGTTCTGTCAAAAATACACTTGTCCCATGGACCATTTCCAAAAGTCAGCTGAATCGAATGGAATTGTTGTTGTAGAGCATTACAAAACGTGCTGTCAATAAACAGCGAATCAATGCTTCAATGTAGTCTTCAGCTACCGACATTTGCACATTGGCCACTATCATCTACATAGATAGATGCGATTTCGATTATTTTTCATTCTTTTATAAGAATTTCTTTTTCCTTTCTCACTCATTTTCGTGAATTCAATAGTTTTCTTTTTATTTTAACTGAAATGTTTAAATGCTTTGACCAAAGTAACTATCAAAATTGTAAAAACCAAACTATAGGTGATAAATTGTAAAAGGGATTTTTCCTATTATTTACACCTCATACTCAATAAAAAATAAAAAATAAAATAGATTTACTTTGAAACAGGACATTAATAAAAGAATTTTTTTCGCATTTATAACATTTTATTTCGATAAAATGGTGATACTATTATGAACTTTCAACCACATGCGGTGTGAACTTATTTTCTTTCTTATGTTCAGACATTCGACGTTATGACCAAAGATAAAATCAATTTAAAATGCTACCGAAAAGAAAAGTGAAATGAATTGAACAATTAGTTTTCTTTTATTCGAATTTAAAAATTTCAAAATTAACTATTCATTATTATAAAAATATTTTTTATATATAATTTGTTTAATTTATTGTGTTGGTGGTGGTGGTGGTGATAGCCGTCCGTGATGATGAGTCTAACTCCAGACATCGGCCGAATATCTTTTTTGTGCTTCCATTTTCTTCAGGTATTGCACAGCGCTTGCTTCATCCATATTTCCTTTGGTTTTGATGATATTCAGTAGAATATTTCTAACGTCGGTGGCCATATTTTTGGCGTCACTACAGACGGAAGGAAAATATTCGGCGATTAGTGGTTTGTTAACGAAAAATTAGAATTGTAATGTGAGATTTAGTGAGTAAAACTATGCTTACCCGCAAATATATACGTGACCCTTATTGTCAATGACTTGCCACACCAAATCAGTGTCTTCTCGCAACAGATTTGTGACATAAACTTTCTCTGGCTGATCTCTGGAGAAAGCAGTTCGCAATTTTAGCGTTCCATTTTGTACATACTCATTCAATTCCTGCAAAAGAGAAATTGGCTTCGGTTAATCATAATGCTGATTTTAGCCTCATTCGAGTTAAGATAATTTTTCGATGATAAATTTCACAACTAAAAGTTTGAGATCGCATAAGAAACTTGCCTCTTCATAAATGAAATCTTCACTCTTTTTACGGCATCCGAAATACAAAATGGTGTCGCCAACAGTTTTGCCATCCCGATGCAGCAAGTCACGTTCCTGGATGAAACCTCTGAATGGCGCCAAACCAGTGCCCGGTCCAATCATAATGACTGGTGTTTCGGTTTTATTTGGCAAACGGAACTGACTCTTGCGAATAAATACCGGCACTTTTGGTGGTTCGCTGGCGTCTTCAGGATGACGGGCAGCCAAATATGTTGTGGCAACACCTTTGTTTGTTCGGCCAGCTTTGGTTTCGTATTGCACTAAAACAGCGGTGACGTGCACAGTTGTTGGATATAGTTTAGCTGACGATGAAATCGAGTAGTAACGTGGCTGAAGACGTGGCAGAATTTCACAAATGTGATCAATTGGTGGTTTACACGATTTGATATCTTCCAAAATGTGGACAACATTGCGGCAAGCATCATGAATCCATGATTGATATTGGGCCTTTCCTTCAGGTGATGTCGATGAAATCAGTTTCAAGAATTCCTTGTCCTTTTCGTCTGAACAGTATTCGGCCAATTCTTTGAGGATGTGCGTACGCGGAATTGCCGTAATTTCAATGTAATGAGTCAATGCGGTGCGATAGGTGGTTGGACAAGGGAATGGATGTTTCTTGCTGCTTTCCAAATCCGTATTAATCAACGAGAAGACGGTATCCAACTTGGCATCACAAAGTTTGCCCAATCGTTCAACCAAATCGCGATCGTTGGTTGGGAATAGTGCAATGTGGTCACCAGCCTCGTAGCGCATTTTCGAGCCTTCGATATCGAATTCGATGTGCATGCACGAACGAACACCGCCTTTATGCAATTCACGGTTCACTTTCATTGTGGCAAGGAATGGATTCTTTGCATCGAATGGCGGACGTTGATTCTCCAATGAGTGCAAACGAGCCACTTCTCCGGAGTAGATACGATCTGGTGCCACTTCTGGTTGTTCCAACAATCGATATTGACGAATTAGAACATCTTCACCAGTGCTCTCAATGCCAAAGTAATCGCAAACGGTTGGCCATAATCTCTCTTTCCATGTAATGAAATCATCTTCGATGCTGTGAATTTCATGAATTAAAAGTATCGTTATTAGTATTATGAAAATGTATAATAATAACTCAAAAGATTGAAGTAATTGAATGAAGTGCTTACTTTGCATCATCGTCTCCAAGACCCAATTCAAATACACGGGTTGCACCTAATTCTTCTAACCGTTTGTCGACATAAATGGCGACTTTATTGTAATGCTCGTATGTCTTGTTACCAAGACCAAATACCTGAAAGAAAAAAAAAATTCCGAATTGATAAGATAATGTTTAGCTCCTGATCACAACAACAATTACAATAAATCATGTACGTAATTCAAAATTATTTCGACCAACAAGTACCAATTGATTTGAACACAAATTCCTAGCACTAAAATAAAGCTTTGTTCTCATCACATTCTGTCGTACGGACAGTTCGTTTGTTCGCTGTTTGTTCTTTACATAATCAATCAATAGTCTAACGTAATTCAGTTTGTTCCAATGACTCGCCACAATCGCACTTGAATTGTATGAGAAATAGCTTAACAGCGATGAATGTGCAAATTGTACGTGCGTACGAGTCATAATTTTGTTTGAATAACGTTCAATTAAAATGCGATTTCTTTGGTGTATGTGACTGGACACAGGTCTACATCGTCGTCAAATCGAATGATAGTTTAAAGGAATTGAAACTGCATAAGCAAATGAAACAAATTTGAATAATAATTTACAACAAATAGAATAAAATTAAAATCAGCTCGTCGTCTGTTACTGCCACACACGTGAATATGATCTTGAGCTGATAGCACATATGATTAAAACCCTGACGTTTGTGGCCGTCTGTCAATAATACACAGAGCAGACATGTGCGTGTGTATTTGTCAATCGAAGCGTTCCGTTGCGTTGCGTCGTTCGTTGGTACGTTCGTTCAGTGCAAGTAAATAATAAATACACATGTTGCTTCAAGTGTTGTGTTGATGGGTTTGCATGTGTGATGGCCCGTGATTGCATGAGTGTTTGTTGATTTTTTGATTGAAGCAAAAGTAGGAAATAAAATTAAATCATGTTATTTTTTTCATCGCCATCATCATCATCAATCATTGAATGATTACAGCAAAATTGCTTCGTTTAGCCCCTGTCATAGAGGAGATTCTATTGCGCGGCCACTGTGTGTTTACATGCCTGACAACAACAGCCGTAATTTTTCATCTTCACTTCAAGTGTATGTGCATTGAATATCGACTCTGGTCAGCGAAAAACGCAACGGGCCGATAAATATTGAAACGAAGCAAATATTTCTTTACGTAATCGATTGGAGTGCAGCACAAAAATTTGTTTAAGTTGACCAAATGACTCAAAATCACACTGAATATTCTCATTGTGTCAATTCAGCGCATTTTTTGTTCACTTCATTTCATACAATAAACTGAGCTATTTGTATATGAAGTAAACAAAAATAATGCACGCCAAACTAATTGAATACTCAATTGACGAGTGATTTTATAGAAATTGCTTAACCTTTGATGCGACACGTATGTACGGAGTCTCAGAGCGCGATCGATTCGATTCGATCAACTGACATTGCTGAACGCTGGAATTTCTCAACCATCGGATTAGCCGTGTTTTTAGTTTTAATTAACGGAACAAGAACATAATCCACGATGTCCTAATTTTTATACTCAGTTGTCATTCTGGTTGGCAACAGAAAATAAAATCACATTCAATTTGCAGTGAATGTTCGAACCCTTTTATGAACTTCTCAGCCGTGTATTGCCACCAATTTTAATTATTCGCAAAGTTATCGGGTGAATTATTGGCTTTGATACTCGATTGATTCATACACGTACACAAAGCGTTGACCCACAGTCATGTTTGTGTCCCATTAACTAATTTTGTTCGAGTGCTAATTAATTGTGTGTTGTAATTTTTCGATTTTTGTTCATACGAGTAAATACAAAAAAAAAAAGAGGGAAAAAGTCGCAAATTGACCGCAATGGTCACGTATTCCATTTTCCACAGTGTGATGTCAAGCGTTGGGATTGAATTGGAATATCCGCAAGTAAACATTTCACGCAAATTGAATTTACGAAATTGAATTTCGTTGGTCATAAACACAAACATATACCACACACCACTCTCACACACACAAGATGGCCAAAGTGAAAGGCTTTCATGCGAGGAGAATCAATGTAGAAGAATTGAATTGCATACGCACAACGGCTTACGATATGATGGGCAGCTGTTATGCAACGAAATTCGTGGTTATTTGTTTATTTGTAAGCCGAATATTGTTGTTATTGTTGTTGCGTTTTTTTTTTCTTTATGCAGCCGGCCATTTGCTTATGAAAGCACCAATTGATACCATTACAAGTGGTTTGGTTTGATTGTAACTTACAAAAATGTATTCACAGAATTTGCTAGATGAAATCGTTTAGCTGTTAAATAATTAACGCTTGGGCTTTGCCACATCGAAACGCTCGGCCAGCGCTACACAAATTAAAAGAGGTGACCGAGTTCACTGAATACATTTTCATTTCGATCGTCATACACGAAATAAAAAAAAAACTCCACATGCCGTACACACGCCGCCAAAAACTGTTTCGATTGGGTCAGTTTGTTGAACGTGTGTACATGACGTCGTTGAAAATGATTAACAACGATGAAGAAGAAGACAAAGAAAAACAACAGAAATCAAATAAACACACGCCGTCATGACACATCCACACAATGATACAGCAATATAAGAGTTACAATGTGAGCACACGTCCATTTATTGAATTGAATTTTATTTGACGTACGGTATCGTGTTGGTTTTCACGATATGAAGGTCATTCGGCATATTTCTCTCTCTCTCTGTCTCGCTCTGCGATACTTTTGGTGTTTTTTGGTCAAAAATTATATAGCAAACCGTTGCGATGGAGGAAAAGACAAACTGGATTTTATGCATGTAAACAAAAGTTGTTTGCATAAGTCTGAATTGCAAGACAGTCGGTAGGTTTGCATCAGAGATCATTCATTCATACGCGATGAATTTTCGATTTTGGGTACAATAAGTGAGACAATGTCCTAAATTTGATGTAATCTCAAGTTATCGGTGATTTTACTGTATGTACAATATTACGTACGTTTTATGATCGACATTACATTCCGTTCTTTGCCGAAATTGAGTGACGAAACAATTGGAAAAAAAAATTGTAGTGGAATTTACTCACCGCATAATTGAGACCGGCCAAATCGACATCACCTTGGATCCACTCCCAGAATTCCATTGCATTATCGGTTGGATCACCTTCACCGTATGTTGCCAAACAGAAAACGGCCAATGAATTTTCAATTGTTTTCATTTGCAAGAGTTCTTCCTAAATTAATGAATAAAAAAGACAATCAATTTGAGTTAGACGCACATAATTTACGTCTCGACAAAGTAAAACAATATATATTTTCATACCATATCACATTCTTCGGGATCGGCAACCATTCCTTTCAGTTGGTAACGAATGCCTTCTTTGGCCAAACGGCCAGCAAACTCTTCGGCAGTTCCCGTTTGCGAGCCATAAAATACAACCAAACTACGGCCAGAAGCTTTCAATTTCTTAATAAACGAATTATCCATGGATTGGACTGTGTTCATTTGTGTCGGCCTGTTTTTTTTTTGTTTGTTCCAAAAGTAATCGATTGTTTAGTTTTTTTTATTTATTTCGATATCAAAGGACAAAACACTTACTGTATGGCATATGATCTTGTAATTGGTTTCTCTTCCTTTTTATTGCGTTTGAAGAGCAAATAATAAATGCAGCTAAGGGCTATTATGACTAATAGAATGATATCGATCGTCCCCAAGTCAAAAGAGGCCTGCTCATCCTGTGTGGCAGCCTGAGCGGCAGCCTCTTCACCGGCAGGTATTTCTTTTGAATCCGACATTACTGCAAACAGGAAAAAAATATCAACCAATGTTAATGAAGCACATGTGTTTTATTGCATAAATTAGATAAAACGGCACGAGTCAAGTTCACTTTTTTCTATCTGCGTCATTCTCAATTACACACTGTTTCTTCCTTATTTATTCTGTGTTACTTGAATTGATATCGTTGATTGAGCAACAGAGGAGAGACAGATAAAAAAAACTATAATGAAATGACAAAAAAAAAAGTCTTTGCTCGCTACTAGACCAGTTTCATCGGACACATTCAACCCGTGACAATGAAAATACCATTAAAATATCTTTGATATTTAAAAAAAAAAAAGAGAGAAACACGTTTACGTTTATGTATTCTATTTCGAGATAATCAGAAGTGTGTCAGAAGGTTCTAACAACGTTGTTATACTAGGGTGAATGTGCTTGGGTTGCGTTGTGTTGATCATTCCCTTTTGATGCACAGATTCTGCACATCGATTGCGTCAGAGTTCTGAAATTACGACCACTTCATCCAGTGTTTAACATGTGATTCATTTGAATTGCTGACGAAAAGCATACGATTACAAATGAAATTGTTTTGCAGCTTGTAAACTTCAGTTGCACAAACCGGTTTTCAGAGCTACTGTATATTTTCTCCAAAGTGCACAACTAAATACCCTTGCATAAGTGAGCATGCTGTGGATGCTTTGTTCCGAGCAGAACTTTACCGAATCGCTGGCATTATTCAATTATCTATTGAAAAATGTCTCTCACATTCATTTATTGTTACAACGCCAAACTCTGGCTGAATATTGTAAATTAAATTAGTTTCCAATGACCGGAAAAAGAGGACAAGATTTCTTTTTATAATTACTTAAATACACGACTGGACAGTGGACACACCGACCAGCCTGGGCTGTGGCTATTCGGCGATTTCAATCCACATTTCTTCGGAATTTTTCAATTAATTCGAACTGGTTTTAATAGTGATCCGGGAAATTTGTATTTGAACTTGAAAATCGATAGAGCTTTGTTCCGGAACCGAAACACACAAAAGCCCATGGAATTTTTTTTTTCAGTTTAACCGATATACGCATATGTTGGATTCACTGCTTTAGGCAACTAAAAATTTTCTGGATTCTCACCGTAAACCTTATCAATTATCAGTGTTGTTCGCAAATTGAGGAAGTAATCGAAAGTTGATGCATCACTCAACAACTGACTCTACCTAATAATTACTTGTCTGGCAAAATTCACAATCGTTCAACTTCAACAACACAAAACTGTATGAAACCGAATTTGCTTTCTAACTGAATGTGTCTACTTTCCGTGTTGATGTTCTACATTGAATCGTTTTTCCGATAAGTTGAAGATCATAGCGCAGATATTCATGACTCAAGGTCGTCGTGTTTGATTTTGTTTCTGTATTGTAACAACTGCCACCGTATGAATGATTAGCAAAATTTGCCTCAAAATCGAAATATTTTTGCTGATTCAATGCTAGCAATGACTTTGAGCTTAACAATTTTAACGATGATAATATACGAACAACACACGCAAAAATGTGGTATCTTTGATTGAATGAGATTAAGAGTTGAACATATGATAAAACGATTCCTAGAGACAAATCAAAGGTTTAAAATGGTCATAAATTTATCTTATCGGTTTGATATTTTGAAAATGTTTTTGAAATCGTTCAAACAGAAAGTGGGATCTTAGTTGAAAGCAACTCTGACTCAGCCGAAAAAAAGCTACAATAATGCTGTGTCACAGAGCGTCGCACAAAAATATTTTATGGCAAAAAGCTTCAAATAACTGTGTATTGATGATAATTCAAGTGGTTGTCAACCACAGTGGTTTGAATGTTATCAGAATTCTTAATTAGCTGGAATTTGCGTAGTTCATAATTTTTTGACAAATCATCGTTCATGGTAAGTTATCGTTGGCGAATATATATACTACTGGTGGCGTCACACACAACCCAACGTATGGAGAATCTCTATCAAAACATACACATACACACACGTATCATTGAGAAAATCAACTTTCCAAATCATTCCAGAAATCACTCGTTGTTTCTTTCGCACTCGCAGTGTGATACTGGTTATGCGAATGATTAACTTGAAATGATACTCGACGCCGTCAACTTTAAACTCGTTTCGATTCGGATGCTTGCTTGTTTGATTTTGGTGAAATGCGCGTTTTTCTCTCTCTCGCACACAATTTGCGCATGTGTGAGGCAATCGAGTCCAGTATGTGTAGTGATATAATATCGTTGGCTGTTTTTGCTTGGTGAAGAAAGCGAAATCTCAGAGTGCGGTATCCACTTGTCGCGCAACAATCAACATGCAAACCTCACTCCAGCCACGTAACATATAAACGATCTCTTATTTTCTGTAGCCCATTTCACACCATAACTCATTTATTTATTTATTTTTACAAGCCTTCGACGCCATCATTCTCGATCATTCTCATTGGTAACGGCTTAACACCTTATACAATCGATTTGAATGGCCATCGAAGGAGAAAAAATGTCATTCAATGTGTATGGTTTGGGACCTTTTCTTTCTTGGTACAAAAGGCGCATATACAACGCACCACATGAAATTTGATCACTTTGTTTGCTTTCAATCAAACAAAGCCACGAAACATTTTTAGGCTTTCTTATCACGGTACACGTGATAGTACTAACAATTCCAATACTATTTTATCTAATTAAATGGCAAAACAAACAAACATACTAATATTGCCACTAAAATAAATACGGTTGTTGTAATGACCAATAGTTTTCCCTCGCAAATGCGATACGACGCGTAATTTGAACGTTGATAAGTAGCAATGAAGCACGAGGAGTTGATCGATAGTGAATAAACTTGGCTTCAAAATTTTCAAACTGAATTTGCATCTCAGTTTCGATGACAATGGCCTGCATTCGCACAAACACACGCAAAGGTAACGAGTTTTAAAATTGCGTATTATATTTTTTTTCGGTTGCAATTTGAAACAGAGAGATAAGTATTGAAAAAGTATTTTAAAAAGTGGCAAAAGGTCAAGGGCTCCTGATGACGTGGCTCTATGGTTCACTAATCTTGTCCGTTCGTTCTAGTTTTCGATTGAATTTTATTTGCGAAAATTGGTAGCTGTTGTTCACAGATTGGTGTTAATTCCACATTGATCCACATATTTTCTGTGTGCAACGATCAACTTTCGATTTTGCTCCGAGAATTCTCACTCCGAAACGAGTAGTACGGAATCGTTTTTGTTGTTCGTCTTCTAATTCTTTTCCATTTTTTGTTTCGATTTCGTTTGCGTGTGTCGTGATTAAAATAGCTGGTGATTACTATTATAGATTACAGTCGATGCACAACCGATAAGTTATGTTTACAATAGAAAATTGTGTCACTGCGTTTTATAATTCAACGTGCAATTGCAATTGATTCCATTTTATTCTTTTCCTTTTCTAATATGTGCAATTCATTTGTTAGCTGATGAGTAGAAAGTTCTCTGTCAAATGTGAGTACGATGTTAGTAGTTTTCTGTCTATTCGCACAGACAGCACGAGGGAAGCGCAACACCAAATATTTGGGTCATTTTATGGTGGTATTCTAGCAACAACAAAAACGGTCGTTTCAATACGTCAGCTTGGAATTTCGAGAAATATGAATGAATGAAAAGGTCGAAGTGCGACTCATTTTGCTTTGATATCAGACGCACACAAGCGCCTCAGCTTTTTTTATTTACAAATGATTAAGGCGACATGGGATTTGTCGTGAAGTGAGTTCGAATGCCTCGTTTTGATGCGTTGACATTGAAGCTAAACAGATAGTTGTGTTGACCGAATCTCATTCGGTTTGATTGGATTTGGCAGCGCAATTTGAATAATAGTTTCCCATGAAAACCAAATTGAAACCGATTCCAAAGAGCACATTACATAACAGCGCCGGCGCATAATTTACATGACGCGTTTCAAATTTGGCACCAAATAAATTTTGGTAATTCAAATTGTTGTTGAGCCATTCCATCGAAACACTCTCCATTTTCTCGTCTACGTTTGACTATCGTCACTGTTCTCTGGTGTGTGTGCTCAAGCATCTATTTTCAATTGTAAATCGAGAGTATCATTCATCATATGTTCGATCATTCCCGGCAAACAGTCACCGGAATACGTTAGCCACAGCGAATGAGGAACGAGCGAGAATATTTCATGTTTTATAGGCACGGCAATGCCTATTTTGAATACATTGTGTCCGCTTTCGTTTATAGATGAAAAAATCCATTTTCAGAAAGAAAAAACACACACATACACACACACATAGGAGAACCGAAACAACAACAACGAAAATCAGAACAAACTGCCGGCCGCAAGTAATATTGCCTTATCGATAGCCATGTATCGACAAAACTGTCTTTCGGCTTTTAGCCGATTGACTTTTTCTCTTTCTCTTTTTCCTTTTCTTTCCAACCGTTGTGTTTTCAAGCAGAAATAATTTATATTCAATAAATCGGCATTCGATTTGAATGCATGAATAGCTAATTCCGACAAAAAAATTTATTCCAAAATCAAAAGTGAGTGAGGAAGAGGAGACAACGGCGACGACGACAACAACGACAACGAAGCCACGTACACATTGCAACAAAAATAGCCGTATATAGTAGCATGAATTGAATCGGGGAGGAAAAAGCTAGAAAGAGATAGAAAAAAACCGCACCAAATAGAAAGAAAAAAAAAACCGTGTACAATCACTGGCGCATCAAGAAAATCAAGTTTTAATCGTAGCAATAACTTGAATGCGAAAACAATGTTGAACCGTAAATTAGATATGAAATTTTACGAGAATTTTCCATTCTCAGAAGTATCTAGTTTTAATGGCTGTTTTAGTAATGTATTGGAAATTTTGTGCATTTTGAAAATACCTTGAACTAGTAAAACCGCAGTAAAACTTGATTGGATCGTGTGTCTGTCGAACTGGTTAGTGACTTAAATTTCATTTCTGATATGATCATCATTCGCAACACTTGTGCATCACAATTCCAAAGATGACGCAAATGATTTTTCATTCATTAAATTGCTTCCCATTTCGTAGATGCTGCACACTGTAGTCATTGACAGGCAAATGATAAAATTGGCTGTGTTGCCTAGCACGTTGATTTATCAATGTTCCTATTGATATTTTCCAATTATCTACACCGAATTGGGCGCGTTATCTCACTTTGGGCGATTTCAAAAACACTCGAATTTATCTGTCGAACACTGCGTAAGCAATTCCGAACGTTGGCAATCAGTTGTGTTTTACAAGCAAAGTAAAAAAAATCGTAAAAAGAATAAAATACCGAATTTTCCGTTGGTTTCGCATTTAGTGCATGCTCACGATAAATGAAAGAAAAAAGAAACAAATGCGCTATCACAACCACTTGTTGGCCTGTCTCGAAGACAGAGTCAGCTGAACAGAATTGCGGCACACCGAAATGAAAAAAGCATGCAAAAATAATAGAAATTACACGTTCACGTGTGCGATAATGAATTATAAAACCGCGACGGTCGTATGAAGTACAACGAAACCTCTATTTCGTCAAATTGGTGAAACATTTTTTTTACTCTTTCGAAACTGGCCGCCTGCTCGATACGACGGGCTTCATCAAATTGCTTCCAGAGTTGAGAATTTCTCACTGACATCAAAAATCTTTTACGACAGGAAACAAATCTGGAAACACTGGTAAACGATATATTCAGTGAAGTATCACAAATTGTGCTATAAAACAATTATCATTCGCTGTGGTACAATGTACGTATGACAACGCACATTTTATTGCTACTACCACCGCTATCGTCGTTGTCATTGTCGTTGCTGCTGGCTGTTACAATTAATGTTTGCTTGTTTATATTTGAGACCTTTTCGTCGCAACGAAAAACCCAAACGAAGCAACAAAAAAGGGACAATCAACAAAACCGAAAAAAAAAATTGAAATGAAATTAATGCATGTCGTATGAAGGAAGAAGAATCGTAAAGTTCAATGTGTGTGTGTGTGTGTGTTTTGACCGTAATGCAATGGAATGAGCGTTCGTTTCTTTGTGCGTGCATATTTGTATTGTGTGTATTTGTTGCTATGTATGTTCGTCTAATCATTTGAAGTGACTGTAAAAATGATCACGTAGGTAACAACTGATTTACAACACACGGCTCAATTGACTGCGTACTCTTTCATTTTTACTCTTTTTTTCTCTCTGTTTTTTTAATTTTTTTTTCATTCACCGATCCATCTCTCACAAGTTGTTTGACTGAATAGGAATACACTGTTGTGGAAAGAGAGATTGTCATGTTTGGCTGAAAGATCACTTACTTCGTTTATTTGGGTTGATTTTTGAATGAAAATCCCGATTTTATTTATCCACTAGTGGCGTTGATGGTCTAACTTTACTCTTTCTATCTCGCAATTGTTTTTCTCCGCAAATTAACGATATATACCTTTTCTGGTTTAATAAAAATGTTTTATTTTCTTGCTCTGCTAAAATGAACACAACTTTATTTTTTTTATTGCGAGTCCGAACAAATGACGTTTCTTTTATAGTGTTGAACTTTTGTGTGCTCTCGAGGGGAAATGGTAGAAAATAAACTTTTAAACAGAAAAAAAAAAACAACTTAACTGCGCGCACCAAAAATTAAACACGTCTATTTCATTGTAAGGCTGAAATGTTAATCACATGAAGTGACTTTGTCAGAAGTTGATATTCCACAGACACTGCATGTTACGTTCGTATCTCACACAACCATATCAATATAAATTCAACATCAAACACACACATAAAGTATATTGTACACACAGTACATAATCCAAATGACACACATGAACTTCGCTTTTATTTACTTCACGGCACTTTTTTTTTTTCGTCCGTGGTAAATCAATTGTATTTGACACGCTTATTTCCTATTTCAGCGAAGGAATTCAACACGAAACGTGTTTTCCTCTATGTTTGTCAAACAATTTATTGTTAATGTATGACACATCCAGTATATATATAGAGATTTGTATAAGAATAATCACGGCTTCGACAGCAACGCAACCGCATACGTTTTTCTACGTAGCGTTGATTCATCGTAATATCAATTGGATTCTGGAGATAAGCATTTTTTTGCGTAGACATTATTAATGAAATGCTAAAAATATAATTTGAACAATGCTTTACACTCATTGGATATGCGTGAATAATTTAAAGAAAAATAATTATCAAAATGATGAAAAAATTTGTAACTTCGCTTCGAATCCGCAGCCAACTTCAGACGATACTCGTTCAAAAATGTGTAAATAGAATACGCGCCAAAACTCAGCTGACTGACAAATGTGCGGTAACAGCCGGTTGTTTCACAACAAATGCATTTAGGAGAAATAGAAAATGAAGACGATACCAGCGCTTAGCAAAGAAATTGCGGCCATATTCAAACTGAATGGGTTCCTTACGCGGTCGTAAGTGCAAATTTTTGATATTACTCGGACAGAGATTGTATTTTTGTTTATATTTTTTTTAGTGAAGTGCGAACGTTTTTGGCCGAACAACTGCAACCGTTGGGCAATGAAGAGCAGAAAGAGTGGCTGAGCAATATCACATCACATATTCAGACACAGGGGCTGCCAACACCGAATGTCGAAATTCAACACATTGAATTAGCCATTAAGGTAGATTGATATGTTTGATTGAATTGATTGCTTAGAGCTGTCAATTGATCAACAAAAGTGGTTTCAATACTCCGAATTCTATTTCATTATTTTTTCCGCAGGAAAACTGCAACGCTGGTCTTGAGGATGGTGAAACCATTTTCGCCGTCATAAATGCGTTTGACATTCCGAAGTACAAGTATGACATTGAGCGAAAAAAGTATTTCCTTGAAGATAAACCCCGAAATCTCTTACCGTCGGCCGGTGCTCGTGCTGAATTTCTAGTGGATCGCTATACAATGCTTTGGCAGCGAACGTGTCGACACGAACTATTTGCCGCATCGATTCCCGGCATAACAACCGACGTGAAAAAGTTTCAACTCCGTAAAATCGAAACTCTGCTCGCCTCAAGCAATGTCAAAGAGGTCGTAGTGCTTGGAATACTGGCGCAGCTCAAAGAGAATAAATTTCATATCGAAGATCCAACTGGTGCCGTTCCGATCGACTTGACTGGCGTGCAGTTTCATAGTGGATTTTTCTGTGAAGGATGTTTTGTGTTGATCGAAGGGAATTTTGTAGATGGCATTTTGAAAGCATCTGGAATGGGTTTTCCACCATTCGAAGAGGCATCCAGTAGCCGTGCATATTTTGGATCGCTAAACACATGGGGTGGTCGCTCAAAAGTATTGCTCAAAAATTCGACCCGTTTGCTGGAGATCGAAAAAGCCAACACAGATGCAACCATCGTATTTCTGGCTGACTGTTGGCTGGACGATCCAACAGTTGTACAAAAGTTACAAACACTTTTGGTGGGCTACAATGAAATGCCACCGGTGGCGATTGTGCTAATGGGTCCATTCATTCGCAACTTGTCCAGCCCGATGCAACTCAAGGCACGTTTGAAGCTTCTGGGTGAGATGATTGCAAATAATTGCGCGACACTGACAAAGGAGACCGATTTGGTATTGGTCCCAGCACCAGACGATCCTATCGCCCCTGTCATATTGCCACGAATCGGTTTACCCGAAAGCTTATGCGCTGGACTCAAACGATTAGTACCACGAACAATACTTGCTACGAATCCCTGTCGTTTGCAGTATTGCACACAACAAATCGTCGTCTGCCGCGCTGATTTGGTCACGAAACTCTGCCGAAACACAATCAATTTCCCAGACACTGGCAAACTGGAAGATCATGTGAGTTGAAGTGAGCATGAGCTTCGTTGCTCATTTGATGAATATCAATTATAAATAAATCATTTGGTTTCGATTTTCTTTGCAGTTTGCCCGTACGTTGATTTGCCAAGGAACGTTGGCGCCGCTCAGTCAAAACACTATGCCAATTTATTGGAACATGGATGCTTCGCTTGCGTTGTACCCATTGCCTGACTTGGTTGTCGTTGGTGATCCAAGCAAGCCATTCGAAATACAACATCATGGTTGCACAGTTGTCAATACGGTACTTATCCATTCAATGAATGTTCGATTCTCACATTTTCTCCGCTTACTTCATTTCTTCATCTGTTTTCTATTTCTCTCTTAGGGCTCATTCCCGAAATCAAAGTTCACCTTCAAAGTGTATGTCCCGTCGTCAAAAGTTATTGAAGACTCTCAAATTCCAGATGATGACTAAACACCACCTAGTTTAAGTGACATATTAATATAATTGACATACTGTCTTATTTTTAAGTTTTTATAGTTGAAACTAAATTCAATCATTTTTAATCATTACAATGTTTTATTTCATTTTTCTTTGTGTTCCGATACATTGTTAGTTGCTTTTTTTAGAGAAAAAATGAGTTGTTACAAAAATATTATTTTTTTTTTTTGAAATGCGAAAAGAACAAAACTAAAATTCTTAATTAAATTTTGTGTAGTTTTTGTTTGTGTTTGAGGCCGAGCATTTATCGATCATTAGATGATGTGATGATGGTTGAAGCAGCAGCACCGTTGTACGTAGCTGGTTGATCGTCTCTTTAAGCAGTGTCATGAATGGCTAAACGGAAAATGTCATGCTGGACAAAAAACGATGCTCCCAATGGCTTGAGCAAGAATGTTTGTGTGTATGCATGCGGAGGATCGTCATCGCACTGGAAAAAAATATGAAAAATTATATTAGCAAATGCGTTAGCATCGAATCCATTTGGATGATTGATTAGTTAGGTAAATGGATTGCAACAAATGTGAAGAGTGCACGAGTTCGATTTTGATTCTGATTGAGTTATCAATTTGAGTGATTGACCAGTAATTGGTTAGATGTATTATTTGGTTAAATGGATAATCATCAATGATGAGTAAAATTTAGATTCAATTTAATTGGAAAATTTCGTTAAAAATGAAGAAGAGATTAGTTCAATCGAGTACAGGGTTTTGAAATCAAAACAATTAAACATTTACCCATTCGCAAAGAACGATTGATTATAAACTAATGGAGATAATTCAGGCGAAGGCATTAAAAGTGAACAAATAGAAGGGAAAGACGGGCGAATTGTTCAAGACTTGAACCTAGGCCTGATCATGGAGAACCAGTCGAAAGATATCGTGAAGTACAAAAAAACTCGTTCCAATTGGCTTTAAATAAAATGTTTGTGTGAATGCGTGCGGCAAGTCTTCATCTGTCTGCAGACGCGATGGACATATTTTATTTCACGAACAATGACGAATGACGACAGCACCGAAAATAAATAGCAACATGGACAAAACGAAACAGGAAATACAATTTATAGTAAAACATTACGCAACATTATGCAACATTCGAGAATATTCGTACAAAAATTTCTATGGGAACTGAGAGTTTTCAAATATTGTATCATGGTACTTACTTGAAGTCGACCTAGCACATTGATCAAGACACCACCATCGAATGTTGGCTGCGAATCAATCGCTGTAATTGCTCTATTAATTTTCTGGAAGGTTAATGACTACAACACACAAAAAGAAAGAAAGATCATTGTTATTCAAATGCTCAACATTTAAAGTGTAAATAAATCTTACCGTTAATTTTTCACCAATTTTTGCAGAGCCTTGAAGCTGCGCACCTTCAAAGGTCATAAATGATTGTTCAGCCTGTGGAAAAAACAACAACAACAAATTACCAAATAATAGCAATATGACAAGAACGTAGCCAAATCACATAGACATATTATAAATAAATGACAACAACTTCGAATGATTACTCATCGCCACTGAATTGAGGTTAAGTCAACACTTTGTTCACTTTATGCAAATTTAATGTGATGCTGATATTGAATTTTTTTTTTTCAACAAAAATCTACCTAAGTTCGTGGTAAAATCGAAATGTGTGTGACATAAATAGAAAAATTGATATTTATGCCGTTGTACTTACGTTGAATAAATGCACCAAATTGATTCGCTGATTTGGATCATCGAATAAAGCGTAATATTGTTGCACAAAGCCTTTAGCTATATCTTCGTATTGTGGATTCAACGCCATTATTTCTACTGGATGTTTTTTTTTTTTGCTATGTCTTTAAATGAAATTTATTCCGAAGAATTGTCTGATTTCAAATTGTTTAATGTAGCAAACTTTTATGCCGAACACGAATGCTGATTGCTTTGGAAAAAAAAATTCTCAAGCGTTTTCTTTTGACAACCCACCGTCTCAGTTTAACTTTAAGAGTGTTCTGTGTCAACTGTGAGTTTTCTATTTTTCGTATTATTCGCTCGCAGCGAATTGGCCAAACGACAGAATTCATGCACAATCAGTGACATCTGTCAAATGTTTCGAATTTCATTTTTAGCTTGACATAACCACACTTTTGTGTAATCTTTGTTATTGTGGTGCAATTGCTGGATTTTTGGAATAAAATCGTAGAAATTCCATTTGAAAATAGAAAGAACAACTTTGATTCGATTTAATTGAATTTTTGGTAAGTGTCGTGTGCTTATGTAATGTTTTTTTATTCAAAATTGGTCGATTTGCTGGCCTTTAGCCTTAACTTGTGTATAAACACCGAGCAATCCGCACGATTAAGTCACAATGAAAATGTGTTTCCCTATTTAATTTGCACATAAATTCTCATTCCATCATTGAACGAGATAAAAAAAAAATAACCCATGTGCATTTGCCAAGAATCGGCAAATTTACGACCCGATATTCGAACACAGTGGTCCAATGTTTAAGTGGCGTTCTTGCGTCATTAAATGCACAATTGCACAGACTTAGTTCATTCGCATTGCCCATTAATAATGTGACTCATTACATTGGATCGGAACGGCTGCCAAGACCTGTGAAGGCGTCTCATTTCCACTCAATCTCAATCGCCCGTCTTCGATGACGTCTGCATGAAAACAATTAAATATCCTTTGAATTGTACACTCACACTATCTCCCTTTTCTACGCTGCGCGTTTTGTCAAGTTGAATGAAAAACTTATGAATATGAAAGCATCATGACATGTGGCTGACGACAAATCACACGTTAGCAACTAGAATTTACCGGCTGTGTCGAGTATTGCTCGGTAATTTTACCCCAAACTGAATCAAATTTAAAACCACCACAGATGATTCCTCTGTTCCGATTTGACTTCGGCGCAAAGCGGCGAAAAACGACATTCTATAAATACACCCAATCGTATTGAGTACCGTTGTTGTTTTCCTGTGCGACTACACAGGCACTCTCTAATGGCCTGTTCATTTCAATCATTTTTCATATTCGAATACTTCATGTCGTCCTTATTGGATTTTTTTCACGCGAATATGATCTATTTTTAAGAGGATTTTTAATAATTATACGTCATTTTACTTGACGTAATGTTGAACGCTCCACCAAATCACACGATAATTTCATGTTTTTGCGGGTTTTCTTTGGCTCAGACAGTTGAATCATCTGATTAGAAATATCGATAATTTCCACTTTGAAATGTAAAATCGCATACGAATTATTTTTCATTCAACTATCTATCTCTAATTTCAGGAAAAACAACCATGGCTGGCGAGAGAAAAATTGTGACAAGTATTTGGCCAGTAGTCCGTGCATATTTACCGGTGTCAATGCTACCACTTTTCGTTTGCACATGCATCTATTTGGATTGGTCAAAGACACAAAAATACAAGGCACGAAAGGAGATTGAATCATTGGGTCTGCAGCGTGAATTCGATAAGAAAATCAATTTATAATACAGACGCTGCAATAGTTGTAAATCAGCACATTTTTAGAATAAACAGTTAGTTGTACCTGTTCGAAATATTTTGAACGATTTTGTCGATTTTCCATTTATTGCGTTTATGCAAAGTTTATCATATATTTATATGATAACCGAATAAATATCTGCGAAGTCTGAGAAAAACAAAATTCGATTTGTTTACTTAGCGATGTGAGGAATGTGATGATTCATAAGAACATGGTTAAGTAAATGCGGTGTTGAGTTTGCATTGCAAAAAAAAAACTTATCCTTTCTTCTTCATGGTCTGAGTTTTACACAGGAAATCATTTTTTCCAGTGTTGGAGTTTGCAATCACTTGATACCACTGGATGGAATGCGTAATTTTCATAAACATATACGCTATATCATATTCGCTGACAAGTGTTTCATTTATTTCACACACTGATATCAGAAATGTTTATTTATCGATTTACAACGCGCTGAGCACGTTGAACGAAACATAAATAAATTGCACTCAGCACTTTTCAGCTCGTATATTATGCGTTTCACAGTTCTTCTGTTGTCTTTGCTATTTGTTTTTGCTCGGCGATATAAATCCGATATATGGTGAACAACGTTGCTTCGGCTCCATTGTGTGACCGCATGCATTCGCTAACTAAATAACAAATGACACATAACCGGTAACAAATCACGCACACATCTTTTACCTCGTTTGTTCGTGCTGTCTCACTGTAAACGCGTCTCATTCGATTTAGTTTTCGTCTATGCTGTCATGGCTGGTCATGGCTTTTCATGAGTCAAGGTAAGTAGAAAATTCAGTTCATATCATGGAAAAACATACCTTTTTCGACTAAATTTAGAAGCTTGAATGTGATCTTTGTACTACAAACAAGCGCTTACGCGCGCGGAATTTGCTATACACTACGCTTGAGTTAATTGAATTGGAAAGAAATGAAAACTGAACAATATGTAAGTTACGAACATATGAGGCTTTTTACTCTGCTGAAATCGATCTCAAAACATTCTTTATTTATAATTTTTTTTTTTGCTGTGCTCAACATTCGGTTTTGGTGTTAATCTCCGTTATTGTTGTTGTTGTTTTTTTTTCTTTTTTGCTTTGTCACAAACAGTTTTCTGCATAACTCAGAACCATAGAAGGTTCCCACATTTCAGGCCAAAATTGCTTAATCAAAACTCCCATAAATATTAATACAAAGTGTTTTCATTCATTTTTGTTTTTCGTTTCCAATCGGAATTCAATCAGTTGTCATTGTTTTGGGTGCAAAACGTCGTTCGCACTCCCATTCCAACCAGTTTATACATACATACATCTTGGCTCAATTAAAATTGATCATTTTGTTTTGTATTTAATGAAACAATGAGTAATGGCGTTTTATTGATATTTTCTTTTGCTCTCTTTCTCTCTTTTTATCAAATTCTCAATGAAATCATCGTCGAATGTACGTTCTTTGAAATGTGACATGTTTGTTTGGTCGGTTGCAAGCCAATCGCCAACGTCGTGGCCGCTGCCGCCGCCATCGACGCTGCTACCGACCGCAAACATTAAAATTATACTTTATTCAAAATATCACAACAGAATAGCTATTCATTATTATTTCCATCATCTGCTCAGTCACGTTACATACTTGTAGAAAGATTCATGCATTTTTACTCGGTGCCATGCTAGGGTTGTTGGTTCTGTTCCAAAAGAACGATGATACTTTTTTTTTTCTTTTTGAGTGAAAATGTACTTGAATCGAAAAAGAGATTCATCGTGTCAACAAGGCTGTGAAGTGCCAACTTTTCATGAGCAAATACATTTGTCACAAACGCATCTCGATTTTTCTCTCGCGTTGCTCGCGATGAGCACACACACACACACACAGAGGAGGCCTTGATTTGAAATCAATTTAATGCATTTTGCTCATAATAAATAAATAAGTTGGTTTGTTTCACGTGATACTTACTTTCTTAATTCGTTAAGAGTGTGTTGTTGTTCTTTGGCTCGTCGACAACGTTGCGTTCTTTCAAATCGAATAACTTATTATATGTTTTTCTTCTTCAATTATTTGGTACTGACCTTCAGTCAGGTTAGTTTGTTTCTCAACCGATTCGATCACATCGGACTGTACCTCTTCCCTGTATTTATATGCATTTCATGTAGCCAGTTCCTCATTGTTTACATTCAGTACGGAGTTTGTAATTGGAGATACTCACCGACACCAAAGTGTTGTGCGTTGAATTTGTGTGTTCTCTTTTGATTGGTTTTTATAAATAGAATACCGACGAAATCGTGATTCCTCCTTATAAATGGGCCCATGTGCCCCGATCGGCACACGTACTGGCCGAATAAGAAAGCAGAAAAAAACGAAAAATATCGGTTTGTATTTAACGCCAACAAGTCGAAACCTGAAATAGACAGTTTTTTGCCTTTCTGCCGAAATGAAATGCGTGCGCTTTTTTTGTTGTTGTATACTTGATACATATCTGCTTGGAGTTTTTATTGATTGATTTTGGAAACACTGAATGATCTATTTTGCATAGTTCATAATTAATTTCATTTTGTTGAATGTTAACGGCTACATAGTTATATGCTAGGCACTAAAAGTTTATTTCGTCTCTAAATTCTAATAAATTTCTTTTTCTCGTTATTAATTAGTGTTTTTTTTAATGTTTTGTTTTGGACATTGTGCCAGATTCCACAGAGGTCCGTTTATCAACTTAAACAACTACTGATTTGATTCGCACTTGTGCAGCACTTCTCTTTTAAAATATATCTTTCTTTCATTTAAATTTTTTTTTTATTTCGCATTTTGCATATCACAAAGTTTCCTTTGATAAATCAGTTGCTACAATTGCTTCCTCTCAGCTCGATGCGGGCTACACACTCTCTTTCTCTCTTTCTCTTTCTTGTTTCTATTCATTGATGTTACTCTTCTTTCTTTCTCTATTCGTATTTTCTTTGTTTTGACATTGATACTTATTTTTGGATTAGACTGTGACTATATATATATTGATGACGACATTGACTATAAACTTTGACGTATCTATTTCTCTTTTTTTTTTGTTCAATAAATTGCCGCGATTTTATTTCCGCTTAACACTACCAAATACGAATAATAACAAAAACAAATATGATTTTCATTTAAAAAAAAAACACACAGAACTAATAACAGAACATAAAAATTTGCATGATTTTCAACTACTTAAGCACAATCCACAAATATATTTATTTCGTTTTAGTACACAATTTTTTGGCAAAAAAAAAAAAACTAGGAGAAAAAGAATGATAAGAAGAAAAAAAATATTATAAAAAAAACTGCTACAGAAATGTGCTTCGATCTTGTCGATCGTTTAGAGTACATTTTAGTCAGAAAAAATTTCGATTCGAATGATATTGAATGTGTGTGACGACGAGTGAAAACGTTTATTGTTCTAATTGTTATGATATTAAGTTTGTAAGGCCACTGTAAGCTCTCTTGTTTTGTTCCGATATAGATTTCTTTTGCTCTACGACGATAAAAAAATTCAACTAATATTCTAAAACATTAGATTTTGTTTTGTTTTGTTTTGTTTGGATAAAATTTTATAGAAGAATTTGATTGTGTTCATAATATGTGTTTTTGTGTTTCTCTTTCATGTATATGTGTGTTTGTGTGCTTCTTGCATATATGTGACGTTTTCTTTGAGATATATTGAGGTCATTTCATCAATTTAAAAAAAAAAAGTATATGATAATCATAATGAATAATAATAAAAATATAATTTATAGTGTAATTGTTGTATAAGTAAAGTCATCGTGTAATAGTCAACACCAACGACAGAGCAACGTTTTTTTTTTTTGAACATTTTTGCTCAGTGCAAAAAAAAACAACTCTTTGTACTTGTTTACTCTAATTCCAAATCGATGTGACGAACTTTTGGGAACTTTTTCTGTGGAGTGGAAAAAAGGAGAGAAGAAACACCAAAATTTATTATTAGATAAGCGAAATAAAATGGCTAATTTTAGTGCAAAAATGATTTTTGTCCCGTATTTTTAACTTGTGTATGTTTTTTGGTTGAAGATGTGATCACGTGATTGTGTCACGTGATCAATTAAAAGTGACGGAAATGGGTTGCATTTTGCGATATATTTTAAGAAAGGAGAAGTACTCACCGATAAGTTCATCTCAATACGATCGATTTCATCGCCCATAATATCGACAATATTTTCACCGTGGCCCAACATAAACTCGTTTAACTGGTCTATACTATGGAAGCCTTTAACCTCCTGAAATGACAAGTGAATTGACAAAAAAAAGATATGAGCAAATGGGAATTCCTACATTCAGCGTGTAATTCACTTTAATTGATTCATAAATGGAAATGTTGTAAATTGTTGTGAATTAGCACAAATTGCCACTGTGTTACGCTACAGTTTTTATCCACGCAACATTGTTTAATTGACTGAGTTTGAGATTTTGTGTTCTGATAATTGAATTGAATTGATTTTTTTTTCTCTCGTAAATCACAATAAGTAATTCCACACTCACCTCCCATAATTTGCGAATATCATGCTTGTCCAAATACTTGCGAGTCAATTCGCGTCCATTAAAATCGATTTCAGCCTTATAACGAATCATTGAGTTGCCCATGTCGATACCTTTAACATCATGTATGGCCTTGATCATAGCGTCACTTTCCAGCTCTTGGTTAATTTTGTCCAATTGATCGAGCTTGATAGAGCGACCAACCAAGGCGGGCACCGACGTGTAAATGACCAATATTGCGACACAACCCAGCATCACACCAACCAACAGAGATCCAATGGCATCCGGAATGTTTGATTCGAGGTAAGCGGTCAGGCCAATACAAAAAGCTGCAACAAACGCACCACAAACAGCTGCCGAATCCTCAAACAGCACAACATTTACGCATGGATCCGCACCCGATACCACGTACGAGAAGAACGATTGATTTGCCTGCTTGGAAGAATTTCGTATGCTCATAATGGCCATCATCAATGTAACACCTTCGAACAGGAACGAACCGCCAAGAACGATATAGGCCCATGTGTAAGACAGGTCATCATGCTTTTCTGTACTCATCAGCCCAACGATACCATGGTAGAACGAGAAACCAGTACCAACACAGAAGATTGCAACACCCGATATCAGCGATGAAATATATTTCATATTCGAATAGCCATAAGGATGTTTGATGTTCGGGTTCTAAGTAGAACAACAACATATAAAAGAAGAGGCAATGAAAAAATGAGGGGAAAATCCATGAAATGATCGTGTGACTGTGCCGACGATTTCCTTGAATTCAATTTTTCTTGTTCAAAGGAAGCCTGAATAAAAATAGGCGTTCATCGAATGCACAGGCACACGACACATCGTGACAAAATAAGCAATATCGCATAGACTATCTCTGACCCGATAAGTCTGAGCACTAAGATAAAGCTGGGCTCATTTAAGCAATTCTCTGTATTTTCCTATACAATTTGCATTCATATACTCACTTTAGCCGACTTGTGTAATCCAAACGCCAAGATAATTTGATTGACAGTATCTGCCACCGAATGTATAGATTCGGCGAACATACTGTGCGAGTCTGTGTAAAGCCATACACATATTTTCAGGAAGAATATTGTACCATTGCTGCAAATGAACAGACATAAAACGAATTATGAGAAACAATCGCAAAGAAATTATTTAGCAAAGAAGAGCGAAGAAAAGAAGAAAAACACACTGTATTGATTATTTCTATCTAGATTGGAGTTTATGTCCAGTGCCATGATATGAGAATTTGATTCATTGGTGGTCATTAACAGAAGTGTTTTATGTGTATATAGTGTTTAGTGTGTATACATAGCACTTTGCTTCCGTGCGAATTTTAATTAGGTGGTCGCCGATTCATACGTTTTGCCCAAATTTCTTCGTCGGTCGTCGTATTCAAATCGAAACACCATCAATTAAAATTAATTAGTTCGCACAATTCTGTTCGCTTTCAATTTTTCTGGTTCACGTGAAAAATGAATAATGATTTTTTTTTTTCACTAGATTGTCGATTTTTTTCCCTGTAGGTATTTTTCTTCTGCATTGCTCAATTCGGTTTACATTGAGACACAACAACATAAACAAAATGACGAATTCCGATAAACAAAATATTACTCACATAAGAATGGCCGCAACTACGACGCGGCCGGATCGTCCTTTCAATCCAGTTTCGAGTTCGACTTCTTTATTACGCTTTTTACCTTTAACCATTCTTTGCAGTGGTTTGATTTATTTGTATTCCGTCTGCAAGTGGCCGAAATAAAAGGAACAAACGATAAAAAAAAAATCTGTAGTTAATTTATGGATGACATTGTTATTGATGTAATCTGAACTTTGAAATCGCATTAGGGCTTCGAGCTCAGAAAAACGTGAATTTTCCAGTGCGAAAATGAAAAAGAAAATTAGAAATAACATTCGTATGGCATCGACAAACGCACTATATAGAGAATGGAATGTCGGTTGCCAAGGAGAATATATGATTTGTCGATGAGTAAGAGATGATAACCTAAAAACAAACACCAAATACTAATTGAATCATTCACGCTGAGTAGTCGGTCTCTTCTTTTTTTGTTGACGAATCGTTATGCGAACGACCGTTGGCATTCTAGCCACTTGCTACACTTTTTCTTTGGTATAATTGAAATGACTACATATTACGACAGTTGTTCCTGTAATAAAATATTCATTTGCGCGTCTTTTATGAAGAAAAAAAAAATTCACACGCAAACAATAATAATCCATTTTCGAAGTTCAAAGCATAAATATCCGTTTCATGGGCTAAGGAAGTAATCCAGATCGCTTTATTTATCTGTTGAAATTACGGGTTTTCGAGGTGAACTCGTCAAACGATTGACGCAAATATGGAGACTTTGAAAATTGTGTTTTGAAATCATAATGAGAAGTATAATGTGGTATCACTGTTTTGAATCATTCATTCTATTCCCATTCGTGTTCGCATACTTCTCACGTGAAGGATCATAAATCATCGATTCAATGAGAGCAAAACGATGTTTACTGGCTGGCCAGCTCTTAGGTCAGATTCAAAAGCCGACATATTAACATCAACAATGGTCTGTGATGTGTACTCTTTTCATGTGGAAAAAAACCGAAAACTCCTTAGTTTGCCTTGCTATGAGTGTCGGAATGGCAAAGTACGCGTTATGTATGCGTGCGGGTACGTGTTCAACTATTTAATATTTGCCAGTTCTTCGAGCGTATTCTTTTCAGTGGTTTGTCCTTTGCTTTGCCTATTTTTAGCTGCGTATGATATTTTAGCATGCGACACGTTCTTTTCATTTCTGCGTGAATATCAGTCAATTCGATATATTAGTCATCACGCGACTGCGGGAGAATGTGTGTGTGTACAGTACATATGCACGAAAATGATGTGAGAAGAAAAGAGAAAAAGTGAAAGAAAAAAAGACACGAATAAGAGAACGACAAGCAAGAGAGTTTATTTAAGGAAACCTGAAGAGAAGATGAAACAATGATGTAATTGGAAGTGAAGATGCGCGCGCGCATTAACTTAAGAACAAGATACTTCAGAATCGAAATCGTGTTTCACTTTGAAATGAAGGTTAATTGAGCAGAATGTTCCTGACCCATATATTTCGAAGCAGGTTCAATCCAGAAATTCACAAACAAACATAAATCGTCGAATATATGTATGTATTCACATTCGCAAAAGGTAAACACATGCAAACACCGACGAACACACACACATAATGCCAGACACAGTTTGAATGGGCTGAGGTGGCGGAAGCGTTGACCAAAGAGCACAAATGACATTTTTTTTTAAATAATTATCGAAAAACGAAAATTCAATGAAATTTTGTTGCTGCAAGTCATTCAAACAGATTTTGCTTGAGATATTTCACTGAAAAATTTCCACTGCCTTTTTTTGTGAGTCAAATTTGCGATCGCGGAAATTATTTTGTTTGAATATTTTTTTTTCGTTCATTTATCGCAAAAAAACACACACTTACTTGCAATGAGAAAAAAAAACGAGTATTAAATAAAAAGAAACGTACAAAAAAACCAGATGATCGAAATCACGAGCACACAACCGAACAACAAATGAATCACAATTTAGGGGCGAACAAAAATAGGTTTATCACTAAACGACTAGGGCACTGTATATTGAAAAAAAATATTCAAGATTTTGCTTTTTCTCTTCTGCAAGTGAAATTTTACGCCGTTTTTCTCTGCGCTGGATGCTTTAAGAATACTTTGTTGAAGGTTGGCGAACAAAAGAAGTGATAATACAAAAAAAAACGTTGCTTTTATCTGTTGACCGACACTGTGTACCGACGTTCAGACGATTCAGCTATGACTGACGATCACACAACCGAATGGAAATGTGAAAAAAAAAACCGTTTATGAAAGAAATGAAGGAACAAACGAACAACAGAAAAAAAAAATATATATAAATTGTAATATTAAAACCGCACACACAATCATAGGGACGACCGCCGTTCGATCGTACAAATCACACACTATGCGAGGAGAGCAGTAACCGAATTCGTGTTTGTGACGTTCATTTATAAAAATAGGTATGAGATAGATGGTGGTATGGGCAATGAGGCAATGAACAAATGAACATATGTGCGCTATGTCAGTGTAAGTGAGAATTAACGACGATAAATATGTGTACTGTTCGGGTACGTCGTGTACATTGTGTAGAAGAAAAAAGTATGTTCGAAAAGAAAACGAGAGAGTCTCGCACACTATACATCCACACAATGACAAACACACACACAATGCACACATGAGCCAGACCTGAAGAAGCACAGAGAAAGACAGAGCGAGAGCGAACAGTGATTATGGAAGAATTATTTGAGTGAGTGATTGCGGCAGCCGTAGTTGTATCAAACAAATACACAAGTGTGTGAGCGACAGTCGAGTAATAATATCATGCGAAAGCGCAACAACAACAATAACAAATGGAATATCGGCTAATAAACGAATCACCCAAAGTCGGAGCAAATGCTACGGTTTTTGGCTTTTCGTTTTTTTTTTGCTCCTCTCATTCCTATTTGGCGTCGATAGACACACGACGAGATAGATAACAAAGCCGATTGAAACAACGGTCGGCAGATAAAATGCGTCAACGACATTGTAAATCGAAGCATTTTTCTACTTGTTCTACTGACTCGTTGGAATCATAAAATATTTTACAGCCAAACAGATAACATGTATCCTCATATGATGAGAAAAAAAAATTGTTTTACTCAGGTTATTTTCTTCTGTTCTCCACATTGCGCACTAGCTTGATTCGAAAATCTGTCAACATCATAAAAAAAAATCAAAGAATAAAATAAGCATGCGGAATTGACTCAATTCAATTGAGCTCTTCAACCAACCAATTGTTGTTGACCGCCATCGAACAACATGCCAATGGGTTCGGTAGTTTCATTTGCCGTCGATCAAATGTGTACACTCAACTGATTTGCCAACAGACCAAAAACGTGATAGCGAGCTGATAGTGAAGCGAATCATTTGTGCGATTCGTTTTATTTTTTTTTATTGCACTAAACCGTATTCAGAGGCTCAGTGTTGAACGGAATTCTCAAAGTCATGCCATGCGTTGGACAATAAATACAGAAATGAAACGGCAAACTATTTCGGATTTGCCAAAATTGCCCTTCACGTTTCGTTCAGTTTTTTTTCTTTTGTGGTGGATAAATAAATTGGGAGAAACAATAAAGAAGGAAAAACTGTTTAGCAAACGGAGGCTAAAAATCAATTAACGCAATAAAATTCATCAACAAAAGCGTTCACATATACAAACATCGGCCCGAATCTATTTATAGAATTCGTACAGAGTGGTCGTATACGCATATTAATTCATGGCATTTACTTTTTTCTTTAATATTAATTGGAATTTTGCACGAAAATCGGTCGCTTTATACGACACACGCTCGTCGTTGGCGATGTTCGCATTTTTTTTTTCGTTGCTGTCGTTGTTTTTCGTTCTTCTGAATGGATTCAAAATTAGACGCGCACACTCACACTTTGATTTTAATGTGCTTTAATTTTATTCTCACGTGTTTTGTGCGTTCAGTTCGCTCTAAGTTCAGTTCGTTCGTTTCATTTCTGGCATCGCACCGAAACAATCGCACATATATTGTTACTAAAACCGAGTGTTTACCATACGAAATGAAAAAAAAAAATCGAATAAAAACCATACACATATACACGAACGAACAACAAATACATAAAATACATATGAGCACACACGCAAACTGGGCTGGCTCAAACCATCCATCGAAATATTTTCATACAAACGTCAACATTTTATTTATTACGCAAATGAATGAAAAATTATCTCCACCCGACGCAGATACAAAGAACGAAAATAACGAGAGAAAAAAAAAACCAAATCTGTTCAGATTGAATGAATTGCGAAAGAGAAAGATGGGATAAAATAAAATGGAAAGAAACTTGCCAAAAAAATAAATTCTAGGTTGACTATTGGATTCGTCAAATCTTCGAACGATTCTTCTGCTCGATAAATAGGAACTCCTTTTTGTATGAAATTGTTGCGGCCGTTGCCAATACACAACACATGCACAATCGATGTATTTTTACAATTTTTAAAAAAGGCTGTGTCTCGTTGCGTTTGAGATTCGTTTGTTCTCTTTTCCCTTTCGGTTGCTGTTGCTGCTGTTCTAAATCTTACTCTCGTCGCGATCGATTTCTACTGAATCAGTGAAAAAAAAAAATTCTCTCGAATATTGTCCTTCGTACAGCCTTACACACGATAACCTAATCCGCTGAAATTGATTTGTGGTCGTCGCTATAAACAAACACAATCACAGTCACATACCAACGGACACGTATTTGATTTGTCGTTTTAAGAGACTCGAAATAAAATTACACAGAATTATTAGATGATGATGATGAGTGAGAAAAAAAACTTGGTGTTCTGTCGCTTGTGTGGTGATAGTCAATGCGTCATTATCAACGGTCGAAATATGACTAACACTCTCGTCAATAGATACGTTGATTATATAGCACTGGTTGAACTGGTGCTGTCACGCGCACACAAAAATAAATCTCGTGCCGAAACGAATTGTCGTATAAAAAGAGAACACACAACTGTCGCAGAAAGAAAAAAAATTTCAACAACTCACACGGTGTATTAGTGAGTGAAGAAATGTTGGAAAGGGATCGAAACGAAACGAACGATCGTCAAATGGTCTTGGTTTTCGTGTACAAGAGATCGATTGTTTTGACAACAAATCAACAAAGAAAACCTTAAACACACTGACAGAAAATGTGTATAGAACCAAAAAAAATAAACTATTAGCAAGTCTCCAATTCATATGAAAACCCATCAAATTAGATGACTGCAAACCTTACAACGTTTGACATAACATTATCTGTGATCGTGTTCACTTTCTTTTCTATACATTATACAATTTTATCTTTGTTGCTATCGGTAGATATTTGATTGATGTTTGGAAGGACGTAATTTTTTTTTCATCTACAGACCAAATCACACACAGACCAAATATTCAATTTCGAATGCGACAAAAAAGATTGTTAGAAAAAACTGGCGGTTTATTCGTGCGCTTGAATGTAACTAGTATTTGCTTTTAATTGATATATACGTCTAAAGTCTCACGTAATCATAAAATTGTATTGGGCTATATTATGTCAACGATGTGTAGCCATAGTTTAGAAACGTTTTGATTTTTCATTTGTTCTGAACGACTTTCAACTTGTTTTCTGATTAGATATGCCTTTCAATGGTTTTGGCGGTGTGTGTTTTTGACGGAGAATGAGAGAGGGAGAGCGACAGCGTCACAGCATTGTGTGTGCGTAGCGCACAATGAAGCCGGGTAAATCTAACACTGAACGCACACACTGACCCGACCGAATAAACCTCACATACAACGAATGTAAGTAGTAGCTGTCACGGAATACGCGAAAAAAAATATCTTCAACTGAATTGATAGATGTTAATATATGTAAAAGTGCCTTTAGTCTGCGGGAAAAAAAGAATAGAAATTGTTGGAAAAAAAGATCAACTGATTTGCTACAAGTCACAGAAAGATGCGGATACTTTTTTAAAGGTTGTTATTCGAATTTTGTCATAGATTTTTGGGAGTTTTCCATGTGTTTTTTCAATATTACGGAGTGAAAGTGATTTATTCCAAGATGGTTTATTTTGTTGTTGTTTCATTTCAAGTGATGCTCAGGAAAATTTCATTTTTATTCGTAGCACCGTATTATTGTCGTAATCGTTGATTGTTTTGAATCCTTTGTTCTGTGACATTTGAATTGCAAATGATCTAACGATAGTTCAATGATTTTTCAATTATTATCACGAATACGGAAATTGACCCCGAAATATCACCAAAGTCAGTTGATAAACAAATCAATGCGCTTTGCATTGATTTTGTTGTTCGTTTTTTTTGTGTGTATTTCAATTTTATCTCATTTACTATCTGCGTGTACACACAATCTATTTTGTCCATTTTATTTGCCTTTTGCTCACACTGATTCTCCTTTTTGTTTCCTTTTTTCCGTTCGAAATTCAGCACAAAACGGAGAGTAATAAACTTTAAGAGAAATTCACCGTATCAAGTGTATTCAGCCGAGAGAAAACGAGACGTAAAATGAACAATCGTAAGAATAGACCTAAAATCACAATACCTATAACCGAAGATGCACTTCCAGCACCAGCCAGGTAATGTCACATTAACACATTTTCAAATGATTTTTCATTTTATTCTATGACACACACACACACACACACAATGCTTAAATATAAATGTGTTCGCTTTGCAGTGCCCCACGTAATTTAGATAAGCGAACAACCATCACAATCGATGATAGAACTTTTATTGTCGAGGCCGATGACTTAGAGAAAATTAGCGATTTGGGCCATGGCGCGTACGGAATCGTCGAGAAGATGCGACATCGACAAACCAACACAGTGATGGCTGTGAAGCGTATAACAGCCACAGTGAACACTCAAGAACAGGTTTGTAATTGGTTTTGCCAGCACAGTAAACACAATGATTCTAGCAATGTTGAGATTTGACACTTGACTTTGTTTTAGTACCATTTGCTCTAGAAAAAGTTCAAAAGTTCTGAAATAAATACATGAAGCTTTGAATTTGTGATTCAGTACATTTTGAACTGTTTCTAGTACAAATGGTACTTAAATGAATTTTAGTGCCAAATTACATATTGCGGTTCTAAAAGTTAGAACCAACGTGTTTACTGTGAATCAGCAAAACCGCTTACGGAATATTCCATCGATTCCGATCCTTGTTTTAATGCTATTCGCTTTCAATTTGATGTTTTCAGAAACGATTGTTGATGGATTTAGATATTTCGATGCGTTCATCCGATTGCCCATACACTGTCCATTTCTATGGCGCTCTATTCCGTGAGGGAGATGTTTGGATTTGCATGGAAGTGATGGACACCAGCTTAGATAAGTTTTATCCAAAAGTCTACAAGAATGGTCAAGTCATTAGCGAAGACATTTTAGGAAAGGTATGATTGGCCGACAATTCTTCCTTTTTTCCCCATTTTCTTTCATGCGACACTTAAGCTGATTTCCTATCGATTCTGGATCTAGATTGCTATAGCCGTTGTTAATGCACTCTATTATCTGCATGCGAATTTGAAAGTCATTCACCGAGACGTAAAGCCATCGAACATTCTAATCAACCGAAAAGGCGAGGTGAAAATGTGCGATTTTGGCATATCGGGCTACTTAGTCGATTCCGTAGCAAAAACCATCGATGCTGGATGTAAACGTAAGACCATTTTAATGGATATTACATGGAAATATTACATACGATTAACGAAAATTCTTTTGTTATAGCGTACATGGCGCCAGAGCGCATTGATCCAACAGGTGAGAAAATAGAAAGAAAATAATGTTTCAATGGAATTTCTCTTAAAATCGAAACTAATCATTTGCTGATCTCTTCCATATAGGCAACCCTGGACAGTACGACATTCGATCGGATGTATGGTCGCTAGGAATAAGTATGGTTGAGATGGCCACCGGCAAGTTTCCATACAACACATGGGGAACGCCATTCGAACAATTGAAACAGGTGCAATAGCAACCACTCACTTCGTTTCTCAAAATCACAACTAAAATACCATTTTCTTTACCGTTATGTTAGGTTGTTAAGGACGATCCGCCACGATTGGAACCCGGAAAATTCTCACCGGCATTCGAAAATTTCATATCGGCGTGCCTGCAGAAGAAGTACACCGATCGGCCAAACTACGAACAGCTGTTGCAGCATGCATTTTTGGTCGAACACATGACCAAGGACACAGATGTGGCCGGTTTCGTTGAAGAAGTTCTCAATTTGCCCGACGCTTAAGATCCAATCTCGCGAGCCATAACCGGAACCAGTGCTACTTCTAGTGCCATTATCATCATTTTAATTGTCTCTTTAGCGCGATAATCATACACGTTTGGCAAATCCTATTTGATTTATACCTACAAAAATTTGTTCAAACGCCAAATCAAGACACAATTTATTATTAAAAACCGGCTAATTATGGCGCATACATTTTGTATGCATCAACTTATTAATCACAATTTACGAATAATTCAATTAACATTTGTAATAAAAAGAGAACGTTGTAAAAGAGAATTAGCAACCGATATGAATTTACTTATGAACAAAGTTCCAAAATGGGACCGACAATAAATCTTAGCCCGGCCGCAATCGGCTTGTCGTGATGACAGCAGAGCTATTGATTTAAGCTACTAACCAATACTAACCACGCTCATAATTTATTGGAAATAGCATTCTATCTTTCGATAAAAAAAATCCCCAATCCCCAAAAACATGAAAAATGAAATATATTATTATGAATAAAGTGAAAGTTTCGCACTTTTTACGAGCATCACCAACAATCAACGCGCATTTTTTTTCTTCGAAACATTGGACGCCATTGCTGTGGAACATGGTGTGTATGTGTGTGTGTGTGCTGTGCCACGCGCTAAACAAATAAACACACCGCGGCGAACATTCTAGAACAAAGCATTTTCATATTGATACATACTTACTGACACATGAGCCTAGACATTTTCTCAAAACGCTAAAGCTAATAAATAAGCAAAGCCAATTGGCGATGACCTGCTGTACACAACTTGTAGATGACATACTTATTTGTATTTGAATAAAATAGTTTGTTAGCCAACTAATGAGATGCGTTTTAGTGGCGTTGTTTGAGCTAGGAATGAACATGTTATGAAAGGATCAAACACGAACATTCAAACAGTACAAAGGAATACAACAACAAAATGCACGTGGCAAGTAAATAAAAATGCGTTCTATGCGGCGACACGACGTCGGCCCCATTTCAAATCCATCAACCAACAACAAAGTTATCTTGGACAGTATCGAATAAAAACAACATTCTCGGTTATGATTTATGTCTACGTTTTTGATATTTTATTTAGAGTTTTGGTGAAAATAACAAAAGAATCAGAAGTGGAATTGAAAATGAATGTATGATTTTTTGTCGTCTTTCAATGAGAGAGAATCGCACAAAAATTGTGTTTTCATTCTGTTTTAGCCTTTCTTAACTAACACGTTTGTTGCATCCGTTCGGATGTAGCCGATTTGTCACATTTCTATGGTGATTGGTTACAGAATTCGGGTTATTGAATATTTGAAGAAAAAAAAAATCATTAAAAAAATGTTCCACCCTTGTTTGTTTTTTTTTTTCTTTTGAATTACGTTTAAATCTTAGAATAAAGGTGTGTTTTTTTGTTTAAAGTAATTTTTTTGGGCAGGCTGAGATGATTTATTGTACGCCGCCGGTCTGTTGTTGGTACACTTCGATTGTGTCGCCTTCTTCCATTTCCAGGCTGGTTGGGGTGTCATTTTCGTTGATAGCTTGTCCATCGAAACGGAAACGAACCACTTGCATCGATAGACCCTGTGAACAGTGCAAAATAGAAAAAAACAATTTGAAACATTAGCATACACACGCACAAAAAATTGATTGCTGTAAAAGCAATGGGTATAACAAAATGTCGACTTCCACTAGCGTCTCGTATATATCTATATGCATATCGATTGCATAAAACACAGAGAGAAAATCAACGAATTGGTTTGAGATACTTACAGCACGATCGCAGTAAGCATTCATCAGCTTGCGCAGCGGAGTGTGCTTCTTGATTTTGAACTGTACAACCGCATTGTCTTGTCCGAGCACCTTCAAGTTGATGTGTTCTGATTCGCCGCCCTTTGAGTCCTACGCAAACAAGAAAAATGCCGATATTATTTACAAAAAAATCGCATTTATTCACAAAATTTTCGCCACAAACATGCGGCTTTTTATCGATGCACATGGAAAATTCGCGAAATATTATGTTTATATACCGAAAATGTGGTCACATTTTTTGTTGTTGTATTTCACAATGGAATGACGCTTGTTAATATGGCGCGGTTGTTTGGGGGCAATTGTAAAAGCAACCGGACCGCATAGTTTTTTCTACTACATTACTTTTCGTATTTTCGAAAATTATCGACACATTTTCAAATGCAATTTCACCGGTTTTTTTGCGAAAAAATTATTTGTACTTACTTTTTTTTCATTGTCACCCATGTTGATTTGGTTTTTTTCGAAATCACTTGAAAAACGTTGTGAGAAAAAATTTCTAGCTAATTTTGCTGTCCTTTAGAGCTATCGCACAAAGTCTGTGTGTGTCGATCACTACACGGTTTGCTATGGAATAAGCAAATCTGAATAGAACAACTCGCAGTAGAGGGCGCGAAATCGTTGCGGCCATATTGATTGACACATCGTTTGGTGTTGGCCGATGCAGAATTCGCTGCTTGTTTCGTTCAGAATGTACGTTACGAAAATTCGTTTTTTCCCAATTTAAAAATGTTTGAAATGAAACAAACTGAAGAATAATTTGATGATTTGTTGGAGAATCGTATGATTTGCCGTAGAAAAATCACAAATTAAATTATCAACTAGTAAAAAGTGGTGGAAAACTCAATTTCGTCCTAATTTCATACTTTGAACACACCCGTGACGAATTCGATTGCAATTGGTTATGAAATCATACGAAAAATGTGTCATCATTCGGAGAAAAAGAAATTCTGAGTGAGAATTCAATTAAAATGGATTGTTTTTAGCCATTTAAATAATTGAAAATCATCAAGCAATTGAATAGGCTTTTCATTTATGCCACAATAGATGATAAATCATAGTTTCACAGTTGGGTAAATTCGGTTTGCGGCGATTTGGAGTACACAGTTTGAAGCGGCGAACAGGCAAGCTCAGGCGACGGTAGAAAGCTCGAGATGATGGTGGTTTTTTGAGAGCGCTCAGCTAGAGCTAGTAGCGAAATAGTACGCATTAAATCATCGTACACATACAAACAGCGAGGCACAATGCGATTGTGTGCGGCCATGAAATTGAACACATACCGTTGCAGATGCGTCTCCAAACTGATTCGCATGCGGATTTATGCGGCGCGCATCGTGTTCACCGAGCGTAAAGCGCAAAACAAAGTGCAAAGATTGGTGGACGAACGAAATGACTGTACGGCCGAATGTCACACGAGCGAAAGAGACGAACACTGCAAGAGAGTGAATTGAGTGCGGCAAAGCGAAAAAAATAAACGTAATATTTCGCTGGGTAGAACAAACGACGACAACAAAAAGGCACACCAAGTAGAAGAAGAAGAAAGAAAGAAAGGAAAAAACAAAAACAGCCGTGTGTTGTGTGTACAATAATAAAAACCCATTGAAGCTACAGGCCCATAGAAGTGTTTTGCAGTCGAATCGGTGAACATACAATTAAATTGTGCTCTCTTTCCCATCGCACGCGCGAATGTGTTAATACCAAAGTGTAATATCGAAAGCAAAAATTATTCAGTGTTCGTTTCATTCATATCGAGAAAATCAACGAAAAAAAAAAGTTTAGTGAAAAGCAACAACAAAAAAAAAATCATTACAAATAATTAGATAATTGCGGCAGCGAAAAAAAGTTGTGAACACCAATTGAGGATTAATTTACCTGTATCTATCAAACGACCGAAAGCATTACGACAAGCGCGAAAAATAGGTAAATTTTTTTTTGTTTCTTCAGTGATTCACACACGGTGCGCGCACGGTTATTTCGTGTGATAGCATTTTATTGATAAACGAATTGTTAATTTCAAAAGGAAATGAAAATAAACGGCCGAAAGGGAGAATAGATAAAAGTGCCAGATTATGGCTGAGTTAAGTGTAAATACGCTTCTCGCGTTAATTGACTCATACATCAGTTCTTCAGTTCATACCGAAGTCGGTCTATTTTTATCATATGCGGTATTATTTTATCATGCGTTCAGAAGCTCTGCGTGTTGTGTTGGCCACATAACACTTGCAATTAAAATGAAAATTCCCCCAAAAATCCACTGATTCCAATTGAATCATCGTCCAATGAAGAGCAAAAAATAAATTCTCAAATCAATTCGCTTGCATGCACTCAACTTAATTAAATTTATCGGTGGAATTAATGCATTTGGATAAAGAATTGCGCCAGCAAATGTGAAGATCAAAAGCATCGTACGCTTAATTCACAGGCCTCCCGAACAAAACCGAAAAAAAAGAGAAATACGTGACGGTGAATTTATGAGTGTGTTTGAGATATCGTTATATTTTTTTGTTGTTTATAAACAGACGAATAATCTTAATTGATTTATCTTGCACTGGAAACAATGAACCGGCACTTGTGTCGGCTCTCATTTAATCGAAAATGAAAACGCATGCGAATGATTTTATCGACGCTGGTTGCGTTTTGTTTCGGCCTACGTGAGAGAGCAAGAGAGAGAGAGAGAAAGAGAGTTTGCTGTTGGGATGCATTTTCCATGCTCACAATCAATTTTCCCGTGCTAATGATGTCAAAATCAGGCGAATGCGATTGCGACGATGCGAGATTCGTTCGGATGTGTGTGAGTGGCATGCCCAGTCATGTACTGTACACATCGTTTCATCACCAAAATGTATATAAATGGGTTTGATGTAAGAGATTTTCTTCTCGTGCAATCAAACGCCGAAAAAAGTATTGCAGTTTTCCACGTCACTTTCAGACCATACGCTGTGTGTTGAAATCCGAGAGATTCAAATCACAGTGGACGACACACCAGCACACTTATACACTCGAATACACACACATACCTGACTCAGTGTCGCTCCATGCGAGAGCATTTCCAAAGATTTTCCTTTTCGTTTTTTTTTTTCGGTTCATAGTAAATAGGCTTACCGTGGCTGCTTGATGGTGCAGTTGTTTTTCGTCTCTTTGGAATTTTATTTAAAGAAAAAGCATCATCATGAAAATTCATCAACGATATACTCGAACCTAAAAAAGCATTTGAAATGACGCTATTTTTGTCAGTTATTCAGTTCATTTTTGTGCGTTTCGTCTCGGTTTTGTTTTCATCATCTTAGTTTTACATAATCGGAATGGGCAAACGAATATATATGCGCAACAATATACATAGTATAAATTGACGGTCGAAAGTTTCGTGTGCCTACCGAAATTTCGGAAGATTTAGTGTTGCTCTTTGTGATAAAGATGGAAACTGACATTGATGAGAAAACGTTTTTTGTGTGTGTCTGTGAAGAAATCAAAAGGTCTGTGTCAGGTATAGACCAGAAGAATCAACAATTCTGAGAATAATATACACATTTATTCAGTAAGACGACATATCGGGGGATTCGCAGAACATCTTTTTGAATATTTAATGAAGAGTACGTGTGATGAAGTTTAATTATTCAATGTAAAAACAACAAATTTGAACCTATTTTTACGAGCTAATTCCATTGCCCACCTTTCCATTTCATTTAGCAACCAATATTCATTTTGCGTTCAATCTTCGTTCATATTCGGTTTTATGGTTAATGTGCTCAACTAAACAAGATAAACAAATAGTTGAAAAAATTGATGATCTCGACACCATATAATAGTGAACAATTGGAAATGATTTTTGAGTGACATAAAAGAAATACGGTTGATAGGGTACAAGTTTATGGCTTTTGAAAATTGTGTGATCCATATCTCGAGCATGCTTTTGTATCTTTGCCAAAAATGGTTCTGTACTAAGCTGAAAAAACTTAGCTAACAATTTAAAATACATTGCGCCCCGCAAGCCATCTAGATGGCGCCACAAGAAAATTTGGTTCTTATACGAGGTGTATGCTCAAGATATGGTGTGATCGACATGAAGAGCGAGCAAAAGAATGCCATAGAAAAACACACGAAATAGTTTTTTTTTATGAACTGAAGTGATGATAATTGAATAGCCAATAGACCACAAGAGGCAAAGAGAGGAGGAAAAAAAATCACCAGCTCGATGAATGGAGTGATAGACAAAAATGACGAACGAGTGGAAAAATGAACAAAACCGAGAATTAAATTGGTATGCGCATAGAATGAAAAGATTTACGGTTCATTCATTCATTGGAGTCAAATGTTGTGCATAAATTCTGATTTATTTTCTCTCTTGGCTCACTACACGGCCAATTGACACATGTGAAAGCCTTTGAATATTAACGCCACAGCAAAAACTCACTTGTGAAATATATAAGAACGAAGTTGTGGGTTTCGGGGCCTCATTCTTCCAATTCAATTGAATTAGCCGAAAAGCTTGGAGTGAAACGAAGAAAAAACATGGCTTCGCATTCATTCGGTCAAATATATCTGACAATTTCAAACCGAGTTATTGTTGCTTGTTACGCTCCATTCTGAGGCATGTTTGACGATAGATTAATTTCTTACATGAATTCTAGCAGCTACAAAACGAGTGTGGGAGAATTTAACAGAAATGTTCAACATTTTTATAAGTGCGAACACTCACACATGCACATTCATTTCAGACGCGGTACTTTTTTTCTTCATTCAACATGTATAAAACGCATTTCATACGTTAATTATAATGTGAATCGTCGAAATGCGAAAAAAAATGCGTCTGATGCTAGCGTAAAACAAACATGTATATAATTGTGGCCAGTTCGTTGGTTTGGTCCTCTTTGTCTGTGTTGGCTCTCTGTGAGCAATCAGTCGTTCGGCTTCTTTATTTATAGACGGTGATTTAGATGCTCATAAAGATTACATTTATTTCATTTTATTTACGCGAAAATTGTTGACTAATTTACTCTTTTGCTGCGAAAAAAATTGCTTTGCCGGCAAACATCGCTGTAAAATGAAATCTAAGCCCGCATTCGAGTTTGTGGAAAATATCGCAAAATTCTTAGAAGGCAAACAGAATGCATGAGCACGCTTCTGGTCGTGCTGCTACGTAGTTTGTGTGATAAGCCCCGTCCAAGGGATGAATCATATGTCGCCATCTATTCGTATGAATATATATTTTCAGCGGAGAGAGTTTCTCCCTCATTCCAATGTGAATCGAATTGATATAAATTTGATGAAAGTAGCGTATCTTATCAAGTTCCATTTAGTTGGAGAATCACTCTTAGTCTCGACTATTTCTCCCTCCTTTATAAAATTGATGAGACGCTGCCGACCATAAATATATCCATTCAGTGATATATATCTAAACGTCGTTATCATGTCTGACGAACATAACCGTATTCCATGTATTCTATCGATTAATTTCAGTAGCTTTAATTTCCATTTGTACATTCGGTGGGCCGAAGTAAGAGAGCGGCGCAACATTCATTTGTTTTGGCACACAGAAATTGTGTTAGGGTAAATAATAAAAGTCTGTGTTGTTTTTCTTTTTCAACTTTAACATCGACACTGTCCCTTTTCCGACAGTCAACTCATTGTATTCGCTTATGTACGTGTTTTTTTCTTCTCTCTATTAAACGTTCCCTTTTGCCAAAATTGCGACCGCACTGGCACTGCACATGCTAGCCGGGGCATATGTACATGGATTTCGCATTATATTCACTTGTGCGACATACGAACGGAACGAATTCCACACTTGTGCAGCGCAAAATAAAAATGTCGAGCAGTGTGAATGCCAAAGTGTGACAGCCCATCGCGTCCTTTTCTTCACTGTGTTGGTGTTTCATATTCTTTTCGTTTTCATACGCATATATTTGGTTTGGTCGTTTTTCCTTTTTTCGCTCAATTCCATCGGATATAATGTGTATTTTAGTTCGGAGAGCCAAAAACGCCATAGCAAATGGCCTTGGTGTAATATAAATCATAATGTATTTTTTTTCTCCGGCAGAGTGTTCAGCACGCAACGCACACTGCTCTCTGTCGCTTCGGACTAAACCCATTTCATTTTTAATTTCGATAAATTCGTCATGATTAATGCGAGCAAAATGTGTGTTGTGTTTGCATCGCACCAAAGCGAAAGCCACTTCCATTTTTCCAATTCAAAGGCAATCTGTGTGCGCGCACGAGTTTTTGAGTGCACTCAATGCGGACACACAATGAACATATATATGTGGACAATAGCTAGTATTTTTGCGAATAAAGCTCAATTGTTTACACTGCAGACAGAGTATAATGGTATAAAAACACACATTCAACAATGAATGGAGAGAAAAAACAACGGTCGCAAACAAATGGGGTAATCATTGTATTTGTTGAATTTATTGGACGCGAAAATTGCTTATCTAAACGAAAAGTGTAAATCCGATTTGAATGTTTTGATTGTTGTTGGCACGTGAACCAAATTCAAAGTAATAAATGTGTACACCGTTTCAATTCGAGTCTATGGAAATGCGTCTGTTTCTCCCGCGTAGAACTATCATTACAAATTCTATCATTGTAAATCAAATGTTGGAGATGTTCAGGCTGTTTCTATAAAGAGAAACTTTTTGTAAACGATGTGATATGGTCAATTTGAATCATTAGCATTTGCCTGCTAACTAGGTATTTATTTAGGCATGGAATAACGCTTGCAAATAAGCAAATTAATCAATTCACACCCAAAAAAAAAATGGAAACAAAGCTCCATATGCCATCAAACCCTGCATATATATCATCGAAATTGAGTAGAGACTGAAAAAGGGCATTTATGTCACAAGTCAAAGCCATTTTTTGTATTGCTTTTTTCCAAAGAATTCCATTCGGAGGAGGCGATACACAGATAATGGAGCGTCATTTTTGGTTAGTGTCATTTCGATCGGTGTATTTGTGCTCAACACAAAATATACCAACAACATTTCGTTTTAGATATGAATACACGGGCCTTCGAATGACAGTTATAGGCAGTAAACATGCGCATTGCACATCATCAGCTGTTGGGCCATCTCATACATTTGCTATACGATGATACAAATGAGAAAAGAAGAATCAAGCGGTTGCTGAATTGTACATCGCCAAGAAACACACAACTCTCAAACGTATTTCTGTTCGTGTTTTGCTCGATTTGTTTTGCTTCGTTCACTCGTCCCAAAAGAAAAACACACACATGCATTCCGAATAATTTTATTTTCAATCTGGACTACTAAATTTATAACATTTCTTTTGCAACGCAATTCATTTCGCTTTCGAAACGAACGAGAACAAAGACGAATCATGTTCATGTCAGAATTCAATAAGCAGCGATTCGATCGAAGAGCAACCACGCACTGGCACAACCAAAACAAGATGAAAATTTATTCACAGAACAAAAAGCAAATTGTTTAAATGATGATGGATGGATTATTAATCTTTAATTTAGTTAAAAGGCATAAAAATATCAGAGAGATGGCAAAAGTGCAATTGGAGCCCATTTCTCTCTCTCCCCTCCTCTCTCTCTCTCTCTCTCACTCATCTCTATGATGAACGATTCATAAATTCGGCATTGCAATTTTTCTTTGTTGTGAGTGAGTGTGTATGTTTTTTTTTTCATTTCATTGAACGTAAACAAATTGATGAGTGACACGATAACTGCAATGTGTTCGATCATTCCGAATTAAGTTCCATTTTGCTTGATTCGCTTGAGTAAAATGTTCCTTTTTTTCCATTACTTTAATGCTTGATCCCGTTTTCGTTTTAACTCGTTACATCGTGTCCGTTTTGACAGATGACAAGAGGTCTAATATGGGTGAGCGCAATTGCAAGAGACGCAAAACGTGAATGTGACCAGTGAGTGAGAGAGCGACAAAAAACGAGTCGAACGAATAGAATGAATGAAAGCAGCAAATGCATCATCAAATGAATGATAGTTCAATTATTTTGGCCTCATCACAATTCGAAATGCGCTAGAACACGTCATTTGTTCACTCATTCATACAATAATGCCGACTCTTTTGCGAGATGTTGTTGACGGTAGTGATGATGATGATGATGATGATGATGACGACGATGTGCGAAAACATGTTGGTTTTTATAGCGTTTCGCGTGAATTTCTTCCGCCAGGAACATGAAACATAATCGTACAGAAACTGAACGCCACTCTTTCGTGGCCTGTTTGTTCTCTTTTCAATTATTAAAAATTATTAGCTCATTTTGTTTTTATGCGTTTCAAGTTTTATGGCAAGTATTATCATCGTCTGTCGATTGGATGGATATGTACACACCGTTTTTGCTCCTCATCGTGACAGAGCTAGCGACCGGCCATTCATTGCGTACAATGTGAAGGGATCAATCATAGCACTAGCATTGTGTTTGTGTACATCGTTTGCCATTCCAATATCTCTTCGTCTATGTAAATTGCTCATTAAATTCATGCATGAGTTAATTCTTGTTACGGACGACGATGATACACTACCAACACAGTCAATTGTTTTGCTTGGCTCATCTCACCGCCATGCATTGATCTGGTTGAAATTTTTAAGCTGGCGCGCAGTTTATCTACAATTTATAGATTGCGAATATAAACGAAGAACACAGAACAAAAAAAACAACAATATAAAACCACCATCAACAATAAAAAAAAAATGAAGAGCAACAAAAGAAGAAAAAAAAAAAACGAAACGGCATCGTTTCAGTGGAAATTCGTCTAGAAATAGAATTTTTATTCGAAATTGGCGTTTTCGTTTTCCACATCTGATTTATTCATGTGCAATAAATTATTATATTGCATTTTGGCATCTGCAAAACGATATGCAAACTCATAAAATGCGCTGTGGTGAGCGACTTTGTCTGTGTTCCTTTCCTCTCTTTCGTTCTGCAAATGGACTTTAATGATTCTTTTCCTTCAATTCGAGTGTATTGATTCAAAACCATTTCAAATGGTCCATATGCTCTCTGCCGATGTCTTATTTAGATCGTTACTGCACTGATCGTCAGTGTGCGCTTTTATTGCATTTCGTCGAATGTATTTATTGTTCGATGCTGACCAGATGATTGCATTCTAAACGATTTCATGTTGATGCATCTCAATCATCGTCTCAATCTTTTCAGTTGCACCGACAAATCACACGACACGGACCCTTATAGCCTTGTCTTATCTTCTATATTATATTACAATAAGTATGAGACTATATTTGAAAATAAGCTCATTACAGAGCAGACCGTGCCTTGGCAGTGATACGTTTGGGGAATTGCGCAGTTGTTTACCGTATTTTTTTTTCTGTTGACTATTTCTGTCGCGGTATTTATTTTGTTTGTCCCTTTTTTCGGTTCGGTCACCATCGTTTAAGCACTGAATTTTTCAATAAATGCCTTTTCATTATCGTTGACGACGACTGCTGTCAGCGATTTGTCAACACAATCGCTGTTGGTTTGCTGCTACACATGGAGTGTGTGTGAGCGGAGGAGCTGAGCATTGTCTTACCACAAATTGGTATTATGTAAGCCATCTCCCACAAATATGTTAGCGGTTTTACCTTCATAAACCTTATTCATATAGGCAAATAAGACCAATGCAATGCACGATGTCGAATACTATTCGGAAATCGTACAATATCAATAGATATACGGCTAATGCGATTGAGTGCAAGAAAATCCATCGTAATCCATGCGACGTGAAGTGTTGGATGAAAGAAAAAACCGAGCAACGAAATACACTTGAGAAATACACTGCCCGTGACCGCCTCATTGGGTTTGGCGCGACACAGGGAAGTTGAAATCCATACGAGCGTCTAAAAATGGTAACCAGAAACTGATTAAGTGAACAACGACACGCAAAACAAATCACTGAAACACAAAAAAAAAATGCATTTTCCAATATTATAATTATTATGGGAGACGACAGACGTCGCACGTTGATTCACGTGAAGACTTTTTTTTTCACATGTATATACACAGTACACATTGAATGCTTCAGTGATTAACGATCATTTTTATTAATATTTTAGCTCCATCGCATTGACGTTTGCGCTTTTATGGCAACGGAAGTCAATCGGTGACGATCAGCGCGTTACACATTTTGACATTCCATTTGTTCGACCTTTTCAGTTGACTGTGCCGTGCCGGTCGTTGTGCGGAACAGTTGTTCAAACTTCGACCAGATCACCAATCATATTTTTGCTAACTCGAGAGAGAGAGAGAGAGTCGAATCAAGAGAAATAAGCGAAAATGACATCACATCATTTCGGTGTGTTCAAAGTGTTCTAAAACACAGACTTAGACCATAATTATACGTGCAGAAATGGAATAGTTATTGAAAATGTGAATGCGTGGAACAAAGATGAACGTATACGATAAATCATTTGAAGTGATTACATAAATGGCGAGTTGAAATGTTAAGCCCGAACAATCGTTTGATCGTATACTAAATCGTTGTCATTGCGAGTGAATGGAGCGGATCATCGTTGTTGAATACAACGACATCGATGTTTTTTTTTTATTCAGTTGTCTATGGGCTCACGTATGTGCCACACTCAGTCTCTCTCATGCGTTTATCGACTGAATTTTATCTGTATATTCATTTTCTGGTCAGCATATACATATATATATTTTCGTGCTTAGGAATTGTAGCCAAAAAAAAATTTATTGTGTAATTATCCGCAGTTTGTTTAGACGATGAGCCTAGAACGGACATATAATCATAATGATTGTGTTGTGTTTCGCGTCAGCCATATGGAAGCAAACACATTTCATGCACATTTATATCAATTAACATTCCGAACTGTATTTCAGCCGAAGCGTCTATCTGTACGCAATAGGCATCACCATTTTTAATTGACTACGCATTTAGGTTTTGCCTATGAGATTTTTTCTCGCATATTTGGTATGATATTTTAATTTTGAGAGTTTTTGGTCATCATTTGAATTAAGCCAATTGCTCATGATTCACATAAATTTCCATTTATTCTATTGGCATTTGTCTTTTTGTTTCAGATTTCCGAGTGAATCCGTGACGAAAAGGAAGAAGGAGAGAAAAAAAACACACACAAATAGGATACTGCGCCCACACACACACACACACACACACTCACATTCGGCCACATTGTCACAACCGTTAGATTTTGTAAACACGTCGAATTTCATTCTGTGCCATTTTAATAGTTTGCGCTGTGCGATATCGAGCGATCGATTTTGAAACGCAACCGCCAAACCAAAAGATAAATATATATATTTATTCGATACCAAAAGGAAAAGTGAAGACAATTGATTGCTGTGATCGTTTGTTTATTTTTATCAGTGCAAAAAAAAAAATCTTTTAGCAGAAACATTGAAAAGTGCTTAAGTCTAGTGAACTCTGACCAAAATCGTGTTAAAAGTTTTGATATTTTCTCCACGACAACCATTTTCGGAAATCAAAGAGCCAAATAGAGGAGAAGCAGAAGAGAAAAAGAAAAAACGTTTTCGAGCACAAGCACGTTTGTTGGCTATGAATTTTGTTATTTAGTGAAATAATTGTGAGTTTTGTGTATTAATATGTTGTCGTATATGGTGCCCGTTGAAGACAAATCGCCGCCGCATAATTTAAAATTGGATTTAAACTTGGATCAAAGTGAAAATGCAAATCGAAATGCAAATAATGTTGGTGCCGCCGCCGCCTCATCGTCATTGTCACCGTCAGCCAAGATTTTAAACTTTGAACGGCAACAGCATTTCAACAGCGCACTAAAGAGTCCTCCAAAGCCCAAAACCGAAGCAGCACAACGTCCAAAAACATTAGTGAAACCAAAACAAAGTCTCAGCCTCAATATGGATACAACGGCAAACGCAACGGAAAATACAGGCAGCATACTGGCATCGGGTTCGGTCAGCGGTGGTTCATCGGACGAAGGCAAAAAAGTCAAAATGGGAAAAATTGGCACCCAGAAAAATGCAGCACTGAAACGGTAAATAACAATTCTGCTCTCTATCCCATTTTCATTTCGATCATTTTTCATTTTCGGTCAAACCAAAAAACACAACACCAAAGCAAATACAATTACTTTCCTTTTTGCAATTTCACATTTCTGCGCGAATAATTTACGTCATGCCTAAGTTGTGAACTGAACCGTTCACGATTTCGATTTCGATTTTCAGATTCAAAGCACGATTCTGCATGCATTTGAATGTCATGCACATGTCAGACAATAGTAACAATTATTATGTAAGCGCAATGAGAAATGAGAAATGAGAAAGATAATAATTACACGATCTGTGTACGATCTTTGCTATATTTTTTTTGGTGTGTGCAAGCCAACCAAGCAGCCATTGAACATGGTAATTGATTGTGTGGCAACGAAGCGCAGTGCAACGACCACAGCTTTCATTTCACGCAGACGACGCGGCACTGATTTTTCCTCTTTCACATTGAAATTGTCTCTCCGACAACTGACATTCCGGCCACTTTGCTCTGTCTATCTCGTCGCTCATTTCCACTTTGTGAGAGAAAGAGCCGTTTCAGCTTTGTTATTCGATGCCATGCCACAAGTCGTAATCACTTTTCTTTTGTGTCAACTCGATGTTGCGATTTCCGCATTCATCAACCGAACCAAGCCATAAACAGCGCCTTTATTCGCACATTCCTTTTCTTTTGTCAAACGAAATGTTGATTTACATTAGAATTGTAAAAATTGAAATGTTATGGAACGCAAAATGGTCTCAAATTGTGCGGGGTAATAATCAAACAAAGTCGTCAAAATGGCAATAAATTTTCAAAACAGCGATAAATTATGTGTCGTTGATCTATTGCCAGTGTGTGTGTATTTGCGTGTCAAATGGCCAGCAATCAAAAGGTATTTAAGACAAATGTTTCCTGAATCCTCTCCAAATTGACAGTATAAAAACTTTATTTTACGACATCGTTTAGAATAGCAGCCAATTTTAAAGACCGTTAAATCTTTTTCAATGCGATTCATCTCTTTTTCAAATGCGCTATATCTAACTACACTTAAATCCAAATGTTTTACATATTTTCTCGGGTCGAATGAAATATGTGTTTGGATTGGCAAAAGAACGAGCGTAAATGTTTGGAAATAACGCGATTTTTAAAGGTTAAGGTTCAAATTGAAAGTGTCAATATCAAAGAAGATTTCATTGGCTTTGGCATTCTTGGCACGGAAGGAGCGACAGAAAAAAAGAACGAACATAAAAATTGAAAGCGAATAAACAAAACTGTAAAGTAACGTTTTTTTTTGTTGCTTTTCCGCATACACGAGAGCCCAAATAAGTGAGTAGTAAGGTTCGCGTCTCAAATGCCACATACGGTTCGATGGCAGGCTCCAGCAATGGCATAATAGGTATTCAATTAATGAAATTAACAAGTTTCAACGCTTTATTTACACTTGAAACAAAAGTTGAATTCGCTATTTGTTTTCGGATGTTACGAATAGAATTTAAATCAATTAGCGAGTAAGAAAAGTGTGCGTCATTCAATTCAGTTTGCGGTTGAAATGAAGTGTTTCTCGAAATTGGTGTTCGATAGTTTGATTCCAAAATAATTGACTTTGAATTTTATTTTTTGCTTTTGGTTTTTCTACAGAGTTTCGTTTGGGTCATCGAAAGGCTCCATGGTGGAGACGCTTGTTTTTGAAACACCAACACCATTACCTGAGCACGCTGAACGAGAGTTTGGTTTTCCGGTCGATAAAGCAGCAGCCGGACATAATAGCAATTCTTCGTCAGGTCTCGATGACAGTGGCATCGAACTGCAAGAAGAGTAAGTTCAATTGAATTAACTATAATCACATTACAAACGCGTAGCACAGTTCAAGACACATACAGTGTATGTAAGTGCATGTGTCCCAATCGCCGTTCCGTCTTGCATTTATAAAATTCTACACCGAAGACCGATTTATTTAACGATAATTAATTATACATTGCTGTTGACATGTTGTTATTCATTTGTTGATCGTACATCGTCGTTTTCTTCGCTCCATTCGCGCACTGTACATCTTTCATCGGGCGCGATGTGTACACTTTTTGAATGGGAAATCCGTGGAACTGTTTGCTGTAGAAAATTAATATTGATATTTCAATGGCTCATTGCGATCTGGAGAGTGAGAGAGGAAGTGCATGACACAACCGCCGAATGGGAAAGAAAGTCGAACAGGAGAGAAAATAGTGTTTATAGAAGTCGGTTGTTGTTTCAAACAACGCATAGCAACCTGTTTTACAGTAATTAGGAAAACACACATCTGTTCCAATAATAATAATCATAATAATGAAAAGAAAAAACCACATGGAAATGTTGCCGCTGTTGTTGTTGTTGTTGTTGTGTTTTTTTTTATTCAAATAAAAATGCGGTTGGTATGCAAATCTTCTTTGCTTGGTGAACTGCATCGTGGCGCGCACACACAAACAAATTCTATGCTCCAAACATTCTTTATAATTCCACATGCATCGGGGAATGGAACATGAATGCAATTTGTTTATTAATCTTCTTTTTTTTCATATTTCAATGTGTGTACAATGTGCCGAGCAACCAAACAAATAGTAATGTTGTTGGTGCGTATTTTTGTAGCCGTTGTTTGTTTTTTTTAAAAACGATTTTATTATTTCATTTGCAAAATCGAGAGAGAAACAAACCAAACGTCTGAAAAGAAGCAGAAAAAAAGCATGTAAATGATGAACAAATGCGCTTTCTCGGCGCGTTCAATCAAAACGTCTGCATATAAAAAAAAAAACACTATTAAAACCACAACGAATTTGCTTGTGTAAGAGAATTAAACGGAATGGTTTTGCTCAACAAAATATAATGAACGCCAAGTGCGAATGTTACCCAAACGAAAAAAATATGAAACACAAGTATGAATGTGCGAGCAACTCATAAATTAATTTATGAACGAAACAAACAAAATGTGAGAATGAAGAAAAAAGAACGAAAAACCACATTGACGGGGAAAAAAGAAAGAGAATAGAATGTGGCAGGCTGGCAGGCCGGTTCATTTGTTGAGTGTATTTTGCACGCATGCACACATTGCACTTCACTTGAATGGCCGAGCATTGTTGACGCATGTCTGTCCCTCTTTGTGCATTTTATTTTAACTGTTATTTCAGAATGTGGTATTTTGATCTGCGGTGCGCTTCGATTCCGTATTCGTAATCGCCGGCCTCGTCGATCGGCGGTCTGGCTAGCTGGCTCTGTGGCGCTATTTAAACCATTTTAGCCAGTTATTGCTCGCAACAATAAATACGATGTCCGATCGTGCGATCGATGAGGCTAATAGCAGCCGTTTATAGAAACGCAGCAACCGATGATGGTTTCTCTTTATTCTGGTTCGGTTCTTTTATTATTATTATTATTATGAACAGTAGCCGCTAACAAAGTTGATTACAAGCGGCAGCATCATCATTATTATTATATGTTCTTATGTCGGCACACCTCACTCTTCTAGCTAAACTCGATCCAACAACCGAACAAGTGTATGTACAAATGAAAAATCGACCAAATGTCTTAGACCGAAATCATGTGCATATGTGAAATCCCATTTAAAATAGGAAAACGACAAACAAAAACAGTCAAAATAAAACAAAAATACATTTATAGAATAATAACTGGGTAGAGCATACTGGCTGAGCCTATTAAAAGTGTAAAGAAATCGGCTTGCAAACACGTTAATATATTCTCTCTTTCTATGCTACCATTACATTGGTAAAGTATATGCAAACAGACAGTGTGTGAGTTCATTCAACCTGAAATTAGATTTCCCGTTTCGCTACATAGATTTTCTCGCGGCATTTAAGTACGTGGTTCGCGGTTTTTCTTTCTGTTCTGTTCTGTTCTGTTTCTCTGGTGTTTTTTTTTTTTCGTGTTTTTTCTTGTACAATATCGAAACAATTAACTTTGTCTGTGTGCCATTTTTTATTCGGATGCCGTTGCCGATGCTGAAAAGTGTCGTATCTCAAAGAGAGCAAGAGATAGAGAGAGAAAGATAGAAAAAGACGTGATGCACTGTACGTGTACATACGACCAGCATATCAAACGAGCAGAGCAATTTATCAAGATGATCGCGCTACATAAATTCAACTCGGCATCACCTGATTTACTTCATTTTTCTCTCTAACTCGACTAATTCTTCGTCTCGATGTGTCGACACATCAAGCAGCTACAAAAAGCAGGACAAAGACACACAAAATAACAAATGGCTTTCTCGATGATCGTTGAGCATTTTCGATGTCAGTAATCGATAAGCATGTATCTAAATCAACGGTTTTCATGGAGCTCACCATACGAAAATCGTTAATTCAATAATTTACTGAAATCCATTATATATCATACAGTTAGGTTTTTGCACCAACGACTCTCAACAAAAGCATCCTCGTCTAATACCATTGATTTTATATGTAAAATAACAAAAAGAAACGACAAAAGTGACCTCTCGTAGCGGCACAGTTGAAACTAACGAAACAAACACAATTGAGCATGTCATTTTCATGTTCAGTGTTGGTTCTGTTGTTTACCGTATAGCTGGAGAGAGATGTCTACAGCTTAGTGGCGTTGAATGACATTCAACACCCATGAACAAAAGAGACTAAAAAAAAAACGCGATGAATTGAAACTTCCGAAAATTGTTCAATCAACTGGATTCATAATTAACGCGATTTCATGACTATTCAATAGAAAAAAAGACGATGATGCAAAAAAATCGTACTGCTTTACTTTTTTTTCCACTGAGAATACGCTGTTTTTTCAGCTGGCTTTTGGTTTGCTGGCATTTCTTTCTATTTCGACAGTCGACGACGGACCAGAAAAATAAACAGATTTAGTCTAGATATGTGAATTTCAACATTTGTGAATTTTGCATTGTGATTCAAATCATCAAAGATCTGACTTAAGATCTAGAGTGTTGTGTTTAGATTAACGACCACATTTGAATGTAAAATCCAACACGAAGCACATCAAATGTGCCGCACGTGTGATGATTCATGCACCGACAATGTGATCAAACTTTTATTACGGTCACAATTTGTTCAAGTAGCGATTTTCTATTCCATCGTACATTTCATCTGGATACATCGAATCGGCTTAATGAAAGAGTTACCAAGTAGTTTGGTTGAGCTCATTGCTCATTTTAAGAGCATACGAGAGCAACATATATTTCATGGACACAAATCTTCTTAATTTTCTGTCGTGAAATTATTCGTTTCGTTTTATTTCGAACATTCCGTTCAAAATTGCTCTATTTTAAATGAGTAACTTTGAATTTGTATCAGAAGTGAGCGAGAGAAGAAACAAAGGTCATAAACTGATCGCTGGTTTGATGTGAATTTCATTTCATTTCTAATCAATCGCATGCAATACAAATAAAACCAAATTGAAACGGTTCAATTGATATAAAATCGAAGACTAAAAATAGTGCACAAGTCAAAATATTTGCCTTTGTTGTTTGCTGCGCAGCGATTCGTTATCGCAAAAGTGAACGAGCAATGACTTGCAATGACATGAATGAAATTGAAACGTTGCCAACTAGCGGTCTGTTACTTGTCGGTTTAGTAAATTCGTGAACATTTTTTGCTATTGGTGTTGTACACTGTGTGCAATATAGTTGCATGCGAATCAGTCTAGCTCACACACACAAACGCGATGTGGTATTCTGTTCAAGCGAGTCTACTTGTCAAAAATCGCACATTCGTTTTTCATGTTCAGGGTAGAAAAATTGAACAATTTTTTTGGCATTTTTCACATGTCAACAAGACCAGCAATCGAGACTTTCATCGAGGAAATTGTTGAATGTAAAGCTGTTCATGTTATTTTGCTCATGTGATTCAAAAGCGTCTATTTATAGATGGAAAATGGTTGTCGTTTAATTAAATTCACGAAAACGAGGTGAATCGTTCGGTGATAAACTCGTTCTATCCATTCTAGCCACTTGAAATCACTCTATTTGCAATGGAATTCTGAATAACGATTAAAAGCGAAGAAGAGATGAAAATGACATAATTGAATTCAACTTGAAATGGAATTTGACGTTTATCAATTCAAGTTTACTTTATTAGTATGCTTAAGTGGATTGAATTGTATCGTGATAGCGATTCTCACGTCATTATAATAAAATTGGTTTCGATGTTTTTTTTTTGTTCCTTTCTTGGGCGGCAATTTTGAATATATTTCAATCAAGTTCCGATTCGAATTTGGATCAATTAATGGAAATGAAACAGGTCGAATCGATTAATTAATATACGTACTTAAAATGTCAAGTGCTGAGCAGAGATCGAATAGTTATTCACTCGATAGAGAATGATAGACAACGGTATGTCGTTTGAATGTTGTAATTATGGTAAATAAGCTCATAAACATTGTCGAGTCTTTTGGGATAGGTGTGACAATGTCAATTTTGTCTGTGTAACAACTAGCGCTGAGGTGATGCCACTTCGTATCAGCAATTTAACCTATCTAATTGACGCGGAATTTCAAAAATGCGTTACGCAATCACTAGTGTTCAGCGTAAATATTTTGATAAGCAACGGTTTTTTTTTATTTCATTCGTTTTCTTTGTTGAGATACCGTTTTCCATATATATATTTGAAATTCTTTCCTCCCTAGATTAGCCAGAATGTAATCAATTCTGACATTTCTTGTCTCTCTGCACAAATTATAATCTCTTGACGGCAACTTTAATTAGATTTCACATTTCTTGAGTAATCGCAAACAAAATTTTAGACGATGTAAACAAATTGTGTTCATTTTCTTGGGTTGCGTTGATTAAAAATCTTGTC